ACAACGAATTACATTTAACTTCGTCTGGTCTGTATGGATGTTTTCTTAGTGTCTGTTTTATTTTATTGTTGTTATTTTTGTCAATGTTTATATCGTTGATAAAGCAATTACGAGTAATGTATTTTATGTGGCTAACCACAATACCATGGCGTATTAATGAGCGGTCACAGGCAAAAATACACAAAATGATAAGCTATTAGCATTGCGTCAGTACACAGTAAATGAACTGCATAGTTTTTAAAAGAGAGGCAGTGAGACCCACGAGAAGATAGCGTTTAACGGAGGCAGTGCTCTTAGGGTGAAAAACATGAAGAAAACAGTGTCAGACGAATATAAGCCGCAAGGGTGTGCAAGTTAGACCGGGTGGTAATAGAAGTCAGTCCTGAATCTGTGGTAAGCCTGATAATAGCTGAAGGGAGTCCGGTCACTACAGACTCAGGGTCAAGGTGCGGGTGGCTATATATTCGCCCTTTGAGTTGAAATAACCCCCAGAAAATGAACGTTTCAAGGTAATGATATATACCGTGAATCTTTTCTTACTGCTGTATAAGAGTTTATGTCGACGATTTTCTTGGATTGTTGACAAGGGTCATATCTTGGAGTTGGTTTATTAATTTGTAATTAAGTCGACTTTTCGTGTATTATATCGCAGATTGTGCCAAGTAAGAGGTAGGCATCGCAAGATGTGCCTTGTTTTGCCAGCTCGTCGGCCTTTTAGTTACTCCCTACTCCTGAGTTGAGTGAGTGGGCAGCAATCCATCTTATTTCTAGTTTATTCATCAATCCTAGGGTATGCTTCTAGTAATATTAAACTTGAGTACCTGTAAGTTGGACAGGTTTTCCGTCCGTGTGATCATGTCGATGTATTTGTAATGAAGAGTAAAAGTAAAAGCCACCCTGATTGCACAGAGTTGAAGGCTGTGCAGTGGTCAGGGACCTTTAATTGATTTTTCGTTGACGATGTTGTTCTCCGTGTGTCGGTGGTTAAACTCATTCGTTCACAATATAATGTCATGATCTCAGACAAGAAGATCTCAGTAGTAACATAGTGAAAAACGGGCGGTTTGTTCATTAAGTTATTAGTAGTACTGGACACGTGTTATACCAACTGTGAGAGCGCTACTCTTTATATATGCTGCAGAAAGTAAGTCAATATATGCAGGTAAGTAATACTACTATTCCGCATTGTCGACTCTAGAGTTCCCGTTTGTGGTGGTGAGGATTGTGGAGCGTTTGGGTTACCTTAGGGTCTATGTTTAATTTGTTGTTAGTATGTGGTGCAATAATGTGTGGAAAAATATCATCTCCTTTCTCCACGCTTGGCGAGTCTGAATAACAGCTTAATTTCAAACACTTTATTTTCATCTCCCAATTTAACCAGACATTAGCGGTGTTTAATGTCAGCACTTTACCGTGTAAATACTCCAACAAACTAACAAACTAAAATACCGATCGTATGTATTCATGCTGCCAGGTCAACAAAACCAACAAAGTAGCACAGGAGAAAACTGCAAATTAGATAAATTAGAGCTGCTATACACTTGACTCTGTAAACGAGCTCCTGAAATTTACTAAAATTCAGGCAGGTCTACTGTGGGGTGATTATTAGCACCCATTGGCGATGAACACGGCCGTTTGGTTCTTTATTTGTCTGGCAAGTCACAGTGAGAGTCGTGTTATTACCCACAGCGCGGACCCGCAATGTCTAAAACAAAACGAAGTACACTTAACAAAACGATCAACTGCCCGGGCAAAAGAAAAACGTTATTCGCCGGGTCCGAGCAGTGTTTTGGATGTCTTGTGCGTGGACTTCAGATCTCTTTCAGCTATGGTACACGTCACATCGCTCGTCCTGGTATGTGTTGACGGTTCTCCAGAGGTAGAGAGAGAGGGAGAGAGAGAGAGAGAGAGAGAGAGAGAGGGAGAGAGTGAGAGAGAGTGAGGGCTGTTAAAACATTCTGTTTACCTCGAGTCAGCAGCTAGAAATTATCAACCAGCCATGTAATGTTACTTTTATATTGAGTCTCTGGTTTTTTAACAGGCTCCCAACCATCGGTTCACGTAGTTAACCAGTACTGCCACACTTCCTGCCTTACTTCCGTCGTCTCACTTTTGTTTCATCTGCTCCATCACTGACTCATACTCGCCATACCGGAAATTACAACCGCTCACCGATTAGAGTCCTTTCATCAGCAGATATGATATCGGTTTGTGAAACGTGACGTATTAATTTGCAGCTCAATGCTCAGTGAAAGTGTTGTATATGTATGATGACACTTTATGTGTTTCGTATGTATCACTTTTGATATACCTCTGTAAAGTTGAGACAGTTTTAAGTTTTTCTCTTAGTACTAACCTTTGTCTGAGTGACTTCTAAAACTTAATGAATTTGAACTTTCTTTGTCAGCTCTGAAAAAAGAGCGTTTGTAATTGTACCGCTCATTAGTTCTAAGTTCAGTTAGAGGATGTGTGCTCAAACATCACAGAGTTTAGAAATGAGACCAGTCAGTTACAAAATGGTAGTTACTAAAACTAAAGACAACTTGTGGGATATGTTACAGTAAATCATTTTTGAAATGTAACGTTTGACACATTTTGCACTATCCGAAGTTATTGTTAAATTTCTTTGGCAATCGTACACATTCCGTTATTTTCCATTAACAATTTAACATGTCTATTAAACCAATATTGGAGTCTGCAGTATCGAATATAACTGACATGTGCGCTATTCTTCTAGAAGACAAACAGTATCTCCAAACAATAGACATGCTGTTTGAAAATACTAAACACGTAGGATGGACACAATCAAGCGCCTGATGCCTGAGCTATTTTCTTATAAGCAGAGCGATTCGTCAAAATTCACAAAATATTGTATTGTGAATGCCATCCCAAACAATAAGACAATCATCATATTCTAGAGTCGTATATAGTTGTTATATGTATACCTTATTTTCTTTTAAACATCTAGCCTTGAAATAAAGCTTTCGTTGAGTATTGAGTAAGGATTCACAAAACCCGTCAAGTTTACGGCCTTTAGAGCAGAAATAATGCTGTCCCTAGTAATTGTGTCACGTGACTTGATGGTATTGCATTCCTTATATTCCGTTGCCAATACCTGCATACAACTGCCTATATGCACCCCCATAATACCCGACATGTCAAAAGATATGACGCGAACTTCATATATTATTGACACTTTTATTACCTTTTCTCGTTATTAGATTTTTCCGTGGACTTTCTTGAGTAGGGACATGTTCACGTGTTCAGTGTTCACGTGCTAAAAGTAATTGTGTCACGTGACATGTTCACGTGCTAAAACCGCGCGTCTTTACCAGTCTCCGTCGGTTGCAGTCTCCACTTTGTAACAGCAAATACCACCCAATTCCAGTTGTCACATAATTGTGACAACGTTACTGTAACCCCATTTTATTCGTCTCAGTTTCCATTGCTGTTCATGGATTTGGATGGCGGTGGTGATTATATCAGACTAGATGACATTACCGTCATATTGGATCAAGAACGTCGCACCGTAGACATTTTCAAAAACGAACAAGTCTGTAATTAAATGTTCATAGTACGTCGTGAATTGTAAAATGTACTGTGTAAAATTGTAACCTTTTTCTGCAACATGCACTCCCTAGGTGAAGTCAACCATCTTCTTTAATCCGTGTTGTATGATATAAAGTATTGACTCTGATGTTATATAGTAGTAGTAAGCATGTCCGCGGCGCTTCTTCTCTGTTGTAAAAGGTTTTCCCCATAATTTTGACTGAACATGTGACAGTGAAGAAGCAATTTAAAAATATTCTTCGCAAATGTAGTTCACGTTGTTATCGATTAGTGGAGCTACAGGTTCACCATATGAGCAAGATTAGGATTACATTATATTATCATGTAGGATACTTGTCTCTTCCTTTTTTATTAGTGAGCATGCTATTCCCATTTCTGTTCCTAAATTGCGTTACTTGTTTTGTCAAGTAATTGATTATTATGCATGAAATCAATTATTATGCTTGCATAGTATTAATTGTGGTATTATGTGTTTGTCAACTGATGTACCTCTAAAATTTCTTTTCCAGCACTCGAGATATATAATATCTTACAGCTCTCATTATTTTCCAATGTTATCTTTAACACGAGGCTTTATTAAGCTCAAGCAAATATAATATCGGTGTCAGGGCTGAGTTTTAGAACCACACAACCATCCCTGGGAGCCAATCCAATCTAACAACACGATATATAATACTCCGCTATATGGTGCCTGTTTGTTCATCCCATCTCCCTGATATGATCTGATATATATCCCCTATTTTTACTGTCCTCTTCACTCATTCTCTGAAGATAATGATTAATGAAAGTTTCGGAGGGTTTCCCAGCTCAGAGCAGATCTCGCTATATCTCTCTATCTCTCTCTCTCTCTCTCTCTCTCTCTCTCTCTCTCTCTCTCTCTCTCTCTCTCTCTCTCTCTCTCTCTCTCTCTCTCTCTCTCTCTCTCTCTCTCTCTCTCTCTCTCTCTCTCTCTCTCTCTCTCTCTCTCTCTCTCTCTCTCTCTCTCTCTCTCTCTTCCAGTCGTACCGCGCTCGCTGCGTCCTCATTAATCACCCCGTGATATATAGCCACAGAGGATGAGTTGATTTCGATCTGCCGGATTACCGGTCACATGACTGGTAATGTGTGTACAGTGGGCGGCATGTCGTCAGGATGTCTCTCTCATTGGTTTGAGTTTGATTTGCTTGCGGCTGCCTTGATCGTTATAATCCTGTGAAGTGCTCACGTGCCATGTTCTATAGTTTTAGGTCCGTTTTTGGTTTATATTATACTTCGAATCTCTGCGTTAATCTTTAAGTAGTTTTAAATGACCATCTGAATTACACCAAGATAGGAACTGCTTTCAGTTACATTTATGTGATATTAGATTGCAAAATTTTGTTTCTTCTTTTTTTTCCCCTTTGATTTCACGTGTTTCCTAGCAAGGGAATTATCGGACTTTTTTTTTCTGTAGACCACTAAACCAGCTCCGTTCACGAAAACATTCCCCAACAACCAGAGGTATGATAGATGAACGTGAAGAAGTACTTTTGTTGTGTACCAATAATAAACGTACAGCAGTCGGTCACTGTTTCCCACGACAAGGGAACCCAGCTGAACGGCTTCGAGGCGGATCACGGCACTTCAAACCACGAGGTTTACAAAAATGTAGCCTTTCAAGATGAAGATCACTTGATGAAGGAGCAGGCGGTGAATAACGTTCTGTCTTCCCGCAACTTGAGCGTTCGCAGACATTCGGAGTTGTCACAGGAATCAAAGGATTCGTCAATGAGCAATGGCAAACTCAAGACGTTGTGTTTTAATGATATCATGGTTGCAAATTTGAACGGCAGTAATTCGTCAGTAAATACTGACAGGAGTAGCACACAGAGCGGCTTCGTCAAGGTTTGTTTAGCTAGTTGTAGTGAAAATTAGTTAGTTATAGTGAAAATTAGTTAGTTATAGTGAAAATTAGTTAGTTATAGTGAAAGTTAGTTAGCTATAGTGAAAGTTAGTTAGTTATAGTGAAAGTTAGTTAGCTATAGTGAAAGTTAGTTAGTTATAGTGAAATTTTGAGGAGGTTTGTTCAGTTTGTTCATATAAAAGCGTAGAATTCGGATAAAATTGGCCTTTAAGCCTTTATTCCTTGAAGAATTGCCAACTTTTTTCTTTCACTCACCATTCATATACACTAGACAATCTATAATTTGAGTCTCTATGCCAAATTTTGATTTATTTTCAGATTTTGCAACATATCTTATCTTTAAAACTAATACGTTTGACATGATACTGATAATTTGACATGTCAGAATCCTGTTTGATACGTTTACTCGTAAAACTTTCGAGCACAAGCGAAACCCTTAGCCGCAATAATACCGCGCTTCATCTCAGTCTTTTTCGAATATTATATAACGTCAACGAAAAATACCTTCTAAAAACATAAAGAAATTCTTAACAAAAACATGTCGAGCGGGGTTATAAAGCCACTGCTCTTGAGCGTCTACTGACACTACACTCACGCCACAATAATTCCATGATTGTGTGTGATTTTCGCCCAAACTGTACAGTCACAAGAATATCCCAGACGTGGTGTAGACCTGATCCGCTACATCATACACGAATCCAATATCATTACTCTCTCCAGTAGGGCAGTCGCTTTTGGGAGTTCTCCTTTACTCAGATCTCTTACCTTAATATCTTAATACCGTCACGGGGGCCCCCTATGATATTATAGCATGTGCAATATATAATATAATAACGATGAGATATATATAAATAATATATAAATATATTGATAAACTGGTTCTCACCGCTGATCACTCTTTGTGTGTTTGGCAAATTTTGTAATCAAAGTTACCTCGTGACTGTGATATTGTTGTGATATGATCCGTGTCCCAACACAGCACGATTCTTAATATAATAAATTGTGTACTTGAGTTTAGAGGATCTAACTTGTTTTGTATCTCGTAGAATTAAACTAAATTAAAAGTTTTTGAAGAACTGTAATTTCAGACCCATGCGATTGATACGAGTTCGGTGATTGAAGCACATGGTCTTCTCACTTCTCTTCTTCTGGAGAACGAATTGCCGCCACATGTCGTAGATACCCTCAAACGTGTCGCTAGAATTCTCGATCCCTCCCCCACCACAGGTATGGATTGTTCTTTAACAGTTAACATATTCAAGGAGTAATTCAGGTTTTCTCATTATTCTCTTGTTATATTTAACGACACAAGGGATATACAATATACATATATGTTTATGATCCTCAAGTACTCCATCCAACTTATCAACCTGAACCTACACCTTCTGACAATGTAGAAACTACTGACCGTGTCATTGCGTAACAGTATATGAACCCCACCAGGAACCCCGATGCTGGCTCGCATGTTGTCACGAGGAAACCAGTTCGGAACCAAGACAGACTCCAACCCTTCCTCAGATTGTGAGGAGGATGGAGAGGAGGATGGAAAAGGAAACGTAAGTTTTACAGAGACACTTTTAAGTTTTTCCACGTTTGTATTCGGCGGTTAAGTCGGCTGCTAAAGATATTGGTGTTTCTAACTTCATAATTCGCCTTAAATTTAGCAGCAATTATGTTTCTGACACAAATTTCCACCAGTGGAGGTCAAGGTACAACGGACCGTCAAAAAGACGACTGAAAGTTTCTGTTTGGTCCACCGTTACCTCAGCTACTGGTCTCCCTACACTCGTACCAGAACCTTCTTCAGGAGCTCTCAAGAGTGAGTGTTACTAATTTAATTGATTTAACTGACTGATTTAACTTATTTCATTGATTATCAAATAAAACGAATACATATATATATGTAAATACGAAAATTTACTGCTACGAATAACGATCAGTGTGATGATGAAATCCAGCAGGATTATAAATTCAGTATATGTCAAGATTTATGTTGGAATGTATTCTTATAGTTATAATTCAAATAAATTCCGGTATCTGCTACAGTAGTAGGTACTACCTGGTAGTGTTGATGTTGAAGATGTAGACTGCAAAGTACAAACACGTGTCCTTTGAACGTCGCCGCTCTAAATACCAATTACAAGTTTACCATGTTGTTCCGTAATTGTAAGGAGGAGGAAGAGGAGGACACTAAGGCATGTTCACTGTTCAGCCACTACATTACAGGTGACATTAAAGTGTCATTATCTTACAATGATTACACTTTCAGAAAACAGCATGGAGAGAAAACATAGTACAAACAACCGGAGTAAGAAGTACAATCTGGATGAGCCGGCGCGAGATGTCCGGATAAACGACGAGGCAGCGTACGTGACCCCGTGGGATAGGCGACTCAGTAGGACTGTTTACTTTAAGAGGGACCCTAAAAACTCGAGCTGCTCATTGTTGACGGACGAGCAGAAGGAGTATCTTCTGAGACCTCTGTCCGACGAGTACGAGTGCACCTCAGAATATCTCAGTTTAGCTAATTCTTGGAATTTTCCCATCTTCAAGTTTAACGACTCGACCGAGCACTGCTTGTCACTGGTTAGAAATTTGTATTTTACTTCACATTTTACTACATGCTAGATAGCAACAAAATTCTTTCTTGGGCCCTGTGCTTTAATTCAAATCTTTGAATCCTAAATTTCGTTATTTTCAGCTGAGTTTCCATATTTTCTCGAAAACTGGACTGGTGGATCGTTTTAAGATAAACCCAGTGCATTTCCGAAACTTCTTCGAAACCATTGAATCTGGATATCACAATTTGCCATGTAAGTTAGTAGGTCTTTCAGGAAACAGAATTTTACACTTATACAGACCATTTTAACGAGACACTTAGCGATTCTTTCTAATTTTCATCTGTTTTCGCGGAGATAATAAATCAGAGTTCCATAATATCTGGGCTATCATTGAATTGTCCTACTTTAGCATTTTGAGCTACACAGTCCTTTACCTGTTACTTGTTGTGTTGTTGTATTTGTCCTTTACCTCAGATCACAACGGGATCCACGCAGCAGATGTACTGCAGGCTTGTTACTACCTGTGTTCCTCCGGTATACCCGGATTTAATAGTGTCTCCGATGATGACAGGTCAGTTGTGCCTAAATGTTCTCTGATCATGTCGGACGTCAAAATATTCCACACTTCTGATTTCGATTATTATTGTCAATTTGTCGCCTTTCCATCAAACTTTTCAATTCGAGAAGAGAAGGCAATATTTAGCTTACTAACTCAAGTTGGTATCGTACTACTAATCACTCCTTATTTCTTCAGCGACATCGATTCAGACACAGAAATAAAATCAGACGACGGAGGGCACTCTCAGTTTGCCGACACGTACGGTAGCCTGAAGGACATCATGACAGATTTGGAGCTGCTGGCCCTGTTCACGGCCGCAGCAGTCCACGACTACGATCACCCGGGCCGAACTAATGCGTTCCTGGTGGCGGTGGGAGACACAAAATCTGTGATGTACAACGACCGGGCAGTTCTGGAGTCACATCATGTGGCGAGTGCTTGGTACCTTCTTACTTCTGACGAGAGGTTGGTGATTGCCCCGTGATTTGAGACTTCAAGTTCGAATATAATGGGGGAGAAAATATTTATCGATCTTGTTTTAGCTTTGTAATTTTATGATTTGTAATCGTTGCTGGAATTATAGTTAGGTTATTGGAAATAAGTCGCAATGAGTAACATACCCTGAAAACTAAGTATGTTTTTGTTTCAGGTATAACTTTTGCTCTGGACTCTCAGCCACGGAGTTTAAGAGGTTCAGGTTCTTACTCATCGAGGCAGTTCTCGCAACAGATTTAAAGAAACATTTTGACTTCCTAGCTCAACTCAATGCCAAGGTAGGTTACTATACTGGGTCAACATCTGTGTCAGACTTTATCCTTGTTACGTTTCGAAAATTAAAAACGAGTTCAACAACACATCTCAATGCTTACTAGTTAATTAATGCTAATTAGTTAATTACCGTTAAACTATCAATCAGACTGTTGATGGTGAGGGAATGGACTGGGAAAATGCCGAAGATAGGATTCTCGCTCTCCAAATGTGTATAAAGTTGGCAGATATCAACGCTCCCTGCAAAGAATACGAACTGCACACCCAATGGACCAGGCGAATCGTGGACGAGTTTTACCAACAGGTTATTTATTATTACAGTTTAGCTGTTTTTGGAGTAGTTTAGTTATTTGTTCAGTCCCTTTGGTTTTAGTGGTAACTATTAGCGACTATATCTTTTAGTTGTTGCGTGTTATGGCCGTTAGATGACATTCAGAGTTCAGATGGTGTAATCTTACTCATAAAATTACAGGGTGATAACGAATCCGAGCTCGGAATGCCCGTCTCAGCATACATGAACAGACACAAAGACGAACCTCGTGTCCCTGAATTACAGCTGAACTTCATAAAACATCTAGTTGCGCCTCTCTACCACGCCATGGCCAGCTCGTGCTTGGTTCCAGGATCCTGGGTGGAAATAACGGAGGAAGAGGACGAAGAACTGAGGACACAGCAATCTGACTTGAACTGTGCCAAACCGACTATCATGCCGCACACTCACAAGTTTGTTTCGCGCCTCCAAGAAAACTTGGACAGTAATTATGCAATCTGGAAGGAGAAGAACGAGATATATCAGGCCTCCCTGAAGACTAACGGTGTAGACGGAGATGTCATTGTGGAGGAGGTAGAGGAAAGCAAACCAGAGTCAGAGGAATGAGCTGCCAAGATAACGTCACAGCGACGAATTGCTAATCTTTAAGAAATAATGTGTTCTCAAGGAGAAAATGTACGAGGTTTTAATGACAAGAAAATCCAAGATATATAGATGATAGAGGTTTTGTATCAAAAAAGTATGCCTAGTTGACCCCTAAGGCATATAATCAGTTGGACTTTGTGCCAGCAAAAAGACCGCTTCTGACCAATGGCTTGCAGCGTCGTGGATCATATTCAGCATAGTGGTTCTATAATGGCTGTGTCGGCCCTGTCGTGGTTTTCACTTAGCTCATTAAAGTGCCAATAGTCTTACATCGAGAGTGTGGTGGCGTAGGGTACCTACTGCATCACCCACGAGTTGCAGTTGACTCAATAAAAGACCTTTCAGAGTACTGTGAAGAGAATGAAGGTATATATAATTATATATATATCGAGACGCTAAGTTCCATTACTGATTACGTTTGTTTTAGGACAAATTCTCCGTGAGTTTCGATAATATTCTTTTCTGTTAGCATTGGAATTCTGTGCTTGAGTGCCATATTAAGTTATTGATATTACTAATTCTACTCATTAACCATACGATGAGGATTTCTTGTGTTGTTATTTATTGGATTTCTATTTCAAATTAGCCTACAATATTGAAGCTTACAATTTATTTTATAGCGCATTACAGCGTTTATTAAGACAAAACCGGCATTTTGTTGATTTGGCGCCGCAGTTTTGTGATCAATTGCTTTGAATATGTACAGGGTAGTTTGATATACCGCACAAACGATATGAGTTATAGATATCTAGCGTTGTTATTTTAATGTTCTGTTACATAATATGGTAATGTGTTTTGGTCATTGACCTTCAGATTCTCTGTGTCCAATTATGAATGGAAGATGGTCATTTCGTTGAGCTCAGATTAAAAATCAAAAATTATAAAAGTTTGATATTCCGGAGCTTGTTTCCCAAACGCGATATTCTATTTCTAAATTTAGTTAGAACAACATTTTGATGCGCCTTTTTCCGTGTTCTTTCATCTTTGGGCGATGACCAAAATTTAGTTATTCACAAAATATTTTAAGTTGGTGATGGTAGATTTTAAAATCAGTATATGTGTATAATTTATGAACTTACGAAATGATATAATTGATTGCAAAACGGGTTGATATCGAATATTTTATCAATGTCGAGTTTGAGTCTTTTTAAAACGATTCATAATCATGGCATGAAAAAAATATGATTTTAGCTGATTGCATTTTTTTCAGTAAGAACAAATAATGAAATTGAATATGTAAGTTTGCAATCTTAATGTCAGCGAAAATTCATGAAAGTGAAACATCTTTGTCACAATTATTTACTGCAGTCACAAGGTAGTACCCCAATATCATTTTATCACTGATGACGGGAAATTTTGATCTGCATGGAACCCTAAATTTTAAAAGCTTATCACTATCAGAATATCTATATCCTTGATCGTTATCCCATTCGAATTTGGCATTGTTTAAGAGCATGATTTTCGCAACCTGATCCTTACATTGAGTAATTTATCTGCTTCAAGTTTGACCGGTATTTTTATGAAATTGTAGATATGTTAGTACTGTTCTAGTTAAATGGAATGACTATATTGAATCAATATTCATTTCTTATTTAAACAGGTTTCATTTTTTTTGTATTGAACTTACAATGCACATCTTCCATAGAGATGTAATCAAAAATGAATTAAATTCCAATCACAATGCTGGCAAGCATGAAGCATGACCGTCGGGCGTCGCTCTTATATTCACAATACTATTTACCCCCTATACTGTTATACCCCCTTTATTGTTTTTCAGGCATTATGCTTAAGACTCATCGAAAGTAGTTCAGCAGGTATATTTAAGTTCAAAACATTCTAATTCAATGTTAAAGATGACAGGAATAAGACATAGTTATGTGGAGGTTTTTAAGAAATTTGCGCAAAATACGCGCCAGCATGTTATACGAAATTCGGTAAAGAACCCAAAATCGCCATATTCAGGTGCCTTAAAACATAAAAACCATGTTAGAATTGAGTTAGAGATCTGAAACTTTGCGGGGCGTCTAGACCGAGACGTTGACCAAATGACAAAATCGACTGTAAAAATTTTTCACGTTTCAGGAGTATCGGGAAGTGGGTTTTCTGGACCCCTGTTTTACAACAGATTGTCGTGAAGTATATCTATGTATCTATGCCTATGTATCTATAGACGTTTTGGCAGTCAATTGCATTAGGAAGTGCACATGCACTAGCTATTAGGGGCAAAATTCAAATGCTGCGCTTTTATGCTTTTTCGACGAGATATTTCGCAGTATTTTGTTAAATGTAGTTTTATCGCTCGGAAAATACATTTTGTAAGCAATCAGCCTGAAATTCAAGAATCTGTTAGTTTATTAGTCTATAAGGATAGCTGCAAAAAATTATTGTGTTAGCTTCATGAGAAATTACTAAAAATTTGAAAAGTTCTTAATATTTGTTATTTTACGTAGTTTTTTGCCATAACTCGACAGTTTTTTCAATTTTTTCCCAGATTTTTTGGGGCCATTTAGAATGTTCCCTAAAGAATGTGCTTAGAAATTTCATCAAGCTAAGATGTAAATCAAGGAAATGAAGCACGAGCATTAAGAAGTATCAAAATCAACGAATTTCGTCAAATTACGCGACTTTTACACACGCGAAATTAATTAAGTATTCCGAAAAGGTATGACAAATTTGGTATTGTATTGTGAAAAAGCTCACACTCTCTAGTTGTAGCGCGATGCACTACTGGGTCGCGCCGCGCATCAAATAATTCTTCTCGCAACCACAGATCGGCGAGATGCGAAGGATTGACATCGTGAATCAAACTCTCTAGAAAACAATGGTACAACAATTTTCAAAATCCAAGCAAGTTTATTTTATCGTGCACTTCTTAATTGCATTGTACTTGTGACTTGTAGGTTTGAGGTTATATTCATTATTCAAGTGTCCGTAGATTCAAAAGCTTTAAAGATACAGCCGTCTTGGACCACAGGTCTTGAATATAATTGTTTAGACTTAAGTTTACGGTATATGAAAAATAATTCAACGTCATCATTACCACTTGATGACGTCATCAAGTTAACTGTTTTAAAAACTTGATTTATTATAATTGTAATAATAAGCTTTATTTCAATTCGTAAGCCGTAAGCCGTGAATGGGAAAAGCGAGCGACCGATTTTATTTTCGGTATCAATTTGCATTTGCTTTTTGCGGACGGTTATTCAAATTAATATCATTCCCTTTTGTTTGGTGGGTAATTTGAAATTAGCGCGATCAGCGTTCAAAAATACATTGATTCCAATTAGTTTCAACTGCCAGGGCTTTTTAGGAAAAATGTCATAGTTCCATGAGCAATGAGTGAAGAGTGATATTAGGAATTTACTTGACACACGCTGCAACCCCTTTTGTGTTTTGATCGCGCGCGGCGGCCGGCGTGCACGATCGAGATCAGAGAGGTATAATATACAACGTGTAGCAAGAATTCACTTAATCATTTGCTTAAGCGAAATTTCGCGCAGCTGCGGCCGGGAGGCGGGTGCACGCCATAGAAATTATTGACATTATCAATTATTAATCAAATTTATCAACAGAATCTTAAATCATAAATAATATGCACTGTTTTTGGAGTGTCGTGTGGAGCATGGAGGAAGTCTTTAACGGGTGATACTCGACACTCGTAAAATGTCTGTTCCATATATTGGACGTCGACGAGTCCAACTCGGCGCGCGTCTTGGTATGTTGTAAACCTACAAGGAAGTGTCTGTTTGATCGACGCAAATGACGATTTAAAAAAAGTTGTATAATAACTTTACACTCAACTGTCACTTGTAGGTTTATAACTTACCAAAATGCGGGCCGCGGCGCCGTGTTGGACTCGTCGACGGTCTAATACTCTACGTAACGCGCGAAAATAATAATTCTATTGCGTTTTCATTGTCACATTTCACGTCGACGGGATTAAACGCGCGCGCGCGTAACATCTTATCTTACTGCTATCTCAACGAATAAACACACAACGACTTTGACAATTGACCGACGACTTAACGATTGTGAGTTATGACGGACTTAACTGTATGGGTCAACTACTAAAACTGCATTGTATACTATCTTAATCATTATACTGGACATGAGATGACGAAGTATCTTGAGCAGCACTTTATACCTCCACTTAGAACTTGATTAGTCACGAACAATAGAATCATTATAAATCAATACAATAAAACATCTTGATCAATAAATGCCTAGCAGCACCAGACAGCAGCCGTGTACCTTTTTCGACTCCACGGAGTCCCTGATGGACTTTTGTTTACTTTTGTTAATAATTTGACCGCAACCTTTCTTTCTCGAAACACAAATCCTACTGTACTTCATTACAGTATTAAGATAATATAATATAAAGCAAATCATGTGAATATATGACTACGAAATAGATCTATAGACTTGTCCATAATATTTAATACCGTATTGATGGTTTTGAATCTTGTATATTGAATTTTAATGTGAAGCGTTTACTCTTCCCCCTCGGCAATTAATTAGAAAGTTAGATTAATGACAATAATTGCCAAATGACGTAGTAGATATAGATGTTCAATGTTGTAGAGTGATTTCAAGAGTAGTGGTCCACAGGGGCCCGAAAAAGCCGTACAGGCACTTGGGTCCTTATCCTTGTCACTAGTCCCAATTGGATTCACTTTACACAAAACATGAACGTTTACAATTTAGACGTACACATTGGCACGATATTTATTAGAAAGCAAACAGTATAAAATAATACGTGCGTGCGCGGCTTGAGCCGCGCCGCATAACAATTTATGCGTTTAGGGGCTGGAGTACGCGTGTTTACAGATTAATGAATTGTTGCATTGTAAATATTTAAAGTTGACGATATATTATGATTTAATAGTAAATTTTTCAAAGCTGGCTTTGGACTTAGGTAAAATTATAATTTATTTATTTAAAAGAAAAAACCACGGATAGTTTTTAATTTACATAGTCGTATAACTATAATCAAGTTAATCCTGTTTTCAAGAATGCGCGGCTTTGGCGGCCAGTTATTGACTTGTACATAAAATTGAATTTTAAATAGAAATGTGAATGTATTAAAATTTAAAACTTTCAAAACGGAGGCTTATAAATATTATTATATTATGATTGTAAAATAAAGGATAAAATTTTAAATTTGTTTCACTAATATTTGAAACAAATATTTTACGAGTATCGCCCGTTAAAACTGTCACGTGACTTTTTAAACACGTTCTCTATGTGGTCCTAAATAACTATTCAAAGCCATAACTTGTAGCGCGATGCGTTACTGTGCCGCGCCGCGCACTCAATGAGGCTTCTCACAGCGAGATAGATCGGCGAAATGCGCTACTGTGCCGCGCCGAGCTGAGATGAATTGACATCGTCAATTATTAAAGCTCCATAACCCTCTAAGCTACACTGATCCCACCCTAATATATATAATAATCCTTGACCAATCCCTAACTGAAGTAAATTTGCTAAAACCCTAAATCTACAAGAATGAAGAAACTAAACCAACTTCTTTACATAGTCAAATCTCAATTATCATAATTATATTAACATGGGTGATACTCGTAATATAATAACTGATAGTGATAAGAATCATTTATTTACTAATGAAACCTTTGTCGGCTGAAAATAAGGCTTAAATCAACTGATAACATAATTGGTTCCCTCAATGCTCAAATTTTAAAAATACATTTGAAACTATTATTTAAAAAAATTTTAGAAATCACTTATTTTTGGCTTTTACTAATTCGCTCGCCCAAAAATTTCACGTGACTTTGGTTTTTATGGTTTTGCAGCCGTACAAAACGGTTTTACATAAACCCTAATCCCAACCCTAACCCTAACCATAACCCCAAAGCTAACCATAACCCTTACCACAACCCTAACCCTAACCCGGGCCCTAAACAATCGAATTCGTATTTTACTAGCCTGTCACGTGACCAAAACGGTTTTTGCCCATAACTCTCCAGGGAAGCATTTTAACCCTACGTCATGGGGGGGTGATTCGGAATCAGCGTCCAAAAATACACCGATCCAGATCACTTTCATGCCCAAAGGGCCTTTTCACAAGAATTTTCTTAAAATTTGGGCGAGCGATTTAGTAGGAGCGCTTATTTTTAACTAAAACTTAGATCTGACTCACATCTCTTTTTGACATCGGGAGGAGGTTTGTTCCAGTATGGTCTAAATTTCTCCGGAAGAAAAGATCAACTGCAGAGATTCTTAATATTTAAATACTACTCTTACAACATCTACTGTTTGACACCAGATGTAGACCCGATCTGTTCATTCCAAAAATAGTGAAACAAATTTTTTAGTGAAACAAATTTAAAATTTTATCCTTTATTTTACAATCATAATATAATAATATTTATAAGCCTATTTAATAGCTGCTCCATAATCTGTAATCTGCCAAACTGATTACAATTTTTAAAGCTTCGATAGGATCACAGCGTATACTGATGTGAGGTTTCCAGCTGAATAATGTTGTTATCCAAAATACAGTGCTACACATCACAATATGATCTTCGTGTTGGCAGACAGCATGAAAACTTAGCTAAATATTGGAATAATTCAATTAATTATGCCTCTGCTATGGTAATGGTATTGTATGCTGTCATCAGTGAATAGACATCAGTAGTTTGGGGGGGGGGGGGGGGGGGGGGGGAGCTTGGGGCGGCCCCCCCCCCCCCCCCCAGTCCGTTGATTCGCGATAGGACACCCAACAAAACTGCCAGCCAGCTCGCACGAGCCGCCTCTGCCTAGTCTAGTGTTTTCCAAGTCTTGTCCTGTGAGTAAAGTATGTATGAGAAAGTTGTTAATAAAATTAATGTATATTTTTGAATTTTTAAAGATTCAATTTGAGAATGAAGTATAAAGACATTTTTAATTCTAGCACTGTATAATTTAGGATATTTATAGCTTATTATAACCATTGATACAAAGGCCATAATTTTTCAAGTTGCATTTTATATTCTGAAACTAAAGTCTAAACAATATAAACTTAAGCATACTATAGTGTAGACTTTCTGTCACAACAAGACTGCAACCCATAGTAACAAAATGTATAAACGTAACCTAACCCCTAATGTCTGCTGACAATTTTCTTATGATCCTAATATGAGCCTTGTCTCTAAAAACTCAACTGAACTAGCGTTTCGGTGTGTACAAAAGCTTTCAGGCACACACATTCCTTGCCCCGTTAGTTACCTGTCCCTTCAAAATCAAACTAACAGTCAAGGACAAAAAGTCATACACCAAACGCGCATTATATTTTTATGAATTGTTTTACATCTTTTTATTCTGTAAAATATGCTCTTGTTTCATTGAAAAATTTCTTGTTTCGTTGAATCACTCTGTCCCCTTTTTTGGGACACTGGTAGTTTAATCTAAAACTGTCCTTCAAGTGCACTAGCTTTGTTTTTGAAACTACCTTATTCACCATTACATGTCGGGGACTGGTTCTTGACTAAGGAGTTTTTCTTTATAATTACATATTGGTTGGGCTGACTAGCTGTACTGGACCCATATAGCCAACGTCCAACAGCTATACTGATGGAGCTGTTTTCAGACAAGGGGGCTATTCGATTATCTTTTGTTATTTTTGTGTTTTTCATGATGCACGGTTATCATTGACTGATATAATTAAACAACTCAGTCTTATAATTTAATTGTCAGTGTCAGTATGTCTGCAGTGAAACCGAATATAAAGATAACAAAGAATTCCTCTAATAAAGTTGCCACAGTTGATTTCAAACAACTTCCTGCCTACCAGTTTCGACATGTTAACTGGAGTGATCTTAAAAACATGGAAATAACAGGGCCTCGTCTTAAAGGTCCCAGAATTCGTGCTACACCCTCTCTGAAAGACAAGGAGTTTGATTCGATTCCAGAGAGTAGTGCTAACTACCAGCCCCATATTTATAACTTTAGCAGCCAGCAGGAGAAACGTGCTGCAACCAGGGAAGTAAAGGAAGTCAACAGTATCAAAAGTAGAATTGAAAACTGGGAGAACGTTTCCAAAGTTAACTTATCATATCAAGAGCTTGGTGGACAATTTCAAAGTAGAATGTTAAATACCACCTTGAAAAAGCTGATAAGGTGTGAAACTTTGATTCTTGTTGACAACAGGTTAAGTGATCTCAGTGAATTCACATTTCCATGTGTAAAGAGATGAATCTGTCCCTGAATGTGTTTGTATCCTGTTCCAAGCTACCAGTCTGCCCTCAATTAAAAATACTGAATTTAACTGGTAACAAGATTTCCACCATTAAAGACATTTCAAGGTTTGGTTGTGTTGAAGTGCTGAAGTTGAGAAATAATCCTCTAGTTTGGACTGTTCCTGAGTACCGAAAGCTGCTCTTTAAAATGGTGCCCAGTCTGCACTTTATCGATGGAGTAACCAGAGAAGACTTGGAAAGGCGTAAGAGGCACTTGAGTCGAGTGAACTGTGATAAATTGTATTAGTGTGTTCAGTGTTTGAAAATTGAAAGACAATGCATTAAATTAGATTAGTGTATTGATAACCTGCTGGAGATTGCAGTTGAACAATTTTGATCCTTACAATTTTTACTAATTGTTACATATGATTTGACATATTGTCTAAATTTGGAAATAATTTGAGCATTCCTTTGACAAGTTATTGTTTATTTAGATCTCCTTGTGTTTAGTATTCTTATTTCTTGTTCATGTTTTTAACACTGAAACCTTTGTAGAATTAATACCCAGTCGAACAATTACTGAAAATAAAAATAAAGAGTTAAACTGTACTGTTTATGTAACGTTGACACTGATTGTATGATATCTGATTAATGAAATTAGTATAGATGATCATGGGGAGGTGGTGCAAATTTGTTTTGTTCTCGGACACTGTTTTACCTACTAGATTGTAGAATCTAATTTGCACCATCAGTCCATGTTTAACCATTGCTGATCTTCTATTGTAGAGCGTGAATTGTTTGAAAATGACGTAATTTGTAAAATAATTCATATCATGACTTTAATAGTATTATTCAGTATGTTACAGTTATTATAATTTGTCAATTTTTTGAGTTCTTCACTCTATAATGTTGATTGTAGAGTATCATAAAATAAAAAGTTGAGAACTTTATCTCAACGGAGTCTACTTTAAATTAAAGCCTTTGTAAATGATGTCTGACTTCAACTGTAATATCTGTGGTAAGTATGTTGACCCGTCCTCAAATTTAGAGATCCCGTATGGGTGAGCAGCAAGAGGAAAGCGATGACGATGGTGTTCTCATTAATAAGGAGGGGTTTCCACTTGCACCAGAGGTTTGGCACAAAATGTGGAAACGGGCCGAGACTCTTCATCCGAGTGGAAAGAAAATGACCCATGCTATAAGAGGTTCACAAGATATTCCCAATGTAGGTTTGTCATTAAATGGAAGACATATTATATGTATAATACAACCGTGTAATCGCAATACACGGTGTATCGTGATGTTATTGCCCATGTTTTAGTACTTTTTTGGCATAATATGACACATAAAAACAATACATGTCAGGTACCTCTCTCCTCACCTCCTACCCTTAAGAACACTCAGTCTATCCCAGAAAAGCTGCTACTCATACAGAAATACATATCCGAGTTACAGTATCCTTTTCGTGAGTTGTGCTTTAAGGGATATGGGTTTGGATTGAGCGACGACTGCATACAAGTGTTTTATTCTACTAACTGTGGTTTAGCAGAGCTATATTATGATGTGTTCAACAATCAACATCTTATCTTACACTGTCAATGAAAGAATATTATAAAATCCTTAACACATATAACACTAGATATGATTACACGGGGTTGCAATTCTTTGAAATCAGGAAGGGTAGACCTTTGTGTAGACTGATGGATGTAGCCAAGTCCATCATAAGAGAGTCCTTGCCCATCAAGTGTCTCGAAGCTGTAGTTTTAGCAATGTATCCTTTGTTTTAAAAAATCCGTTTCCTCACTCAGTTTTATACACAATAAACAATATCAATCTAGGAAGATTGTGCTCTGTTTTGGTGATCAAAATTCAAAGTTTCTTATTGAAACCTGGAAGTTTAATGTTCGTGTTGGAAGACATACTTTCTTAACTTTAATTTGTTAGATATTTGACCAGTGATTTACCATCAGTACAAAGATTCCCTCTAGCTTTCAAGACAACTTTTGAAAATAACACATTCAAGTAAATAAACAATGTATTTTCTTAAAATTTGATCATCCTTAGAGTTAGAATCTTATATTGTAGATCATTAATTATCAACCGAAATTTGGTGTTTTTAAGTATTCAACTAAGTTATTTTAGGTATGTACAACAAGAAATGAGTTTGGGATGTAAAAGGATATAATTCCAATAGAGAGCAATCTCTCCTCCCACTTAGCTAAATCACATTTTGTTACAGACACATAGTACTAGGAGTGTTCTACAACGGAAAGTTTGGAGCACTGGGACTCAGCCGCAGAGACACGCTCATGTATAAGAGTCTTAAATATGATGTAGGTTGACACAATAATTAGAGATACAAATATTCACGCACTATATTTCGGGTAATCTGTTTTTATTGTCGAATAGATCAAGACCAGACCAGACTTTTTTCTTTCTTATTTGATGTAATGCCGAGAAAATACATTTTTGCGTTACATAGTAATTGGTATTTATAATTTGGTATGCAATATGTGATCAAATGTCCAGTCTTGTTCGCTGAGGCCTGAGTCAGACAATGTGTGTCCTGATCGAGTCCGGTCTTGTGTGCAAATATTGATCTGTTCAGCTCCAAGTCGCCTTAATCAATATACGATATTATACCCATTATACAAATATTTAAATATTATTCAGGATTATGTTGATCTACGTCAGTATTATGTTGATCTACGTAAATTTGTTTTAGATATTCATCACATATTTTACAGAAATCAAACAGAATACGGTATAGATTAATCAAATTCTTTAAACATCAATAAAAGTATTGAAATTTATTGATATTGACATAAAAAATATCACACTTAAATAATTCTAGAAAGCAGCCTTAGAATCTTTTTTTTACAACATTTAAATTTAATATTAGCATTGATAACTCATCGCTTATATTTATAAAAATGTCCCAGTCGACTTTCAACCATTAATTGTACAGGGAGACTCAAAATGTGATATCTGAATACATCTAACTAGCTAAAACTAATTAGCTAAACTTACTAGTTAAAACGGTCCAAATGTAGACGAAACAATTGGGAGTTCCAACATTTAATCGTCTGGGTGTAAGTTAAAACGTTGACCGTGCGAGAAAATGTCAGAGCACTTTGTCAATTTTATGTGGACAAACTTGAAATAGGCTAACCCTCATAATCACACTACGCATAAAACACTCGAACCAATTTCACCAGCATGAGTATCTTGGGAAGAAGGCAATGGTAATCGTTATCAGGTGACTTGTTGCACGAAGTAATATTTCATTGCTGCATTTCACGAAGAAGCCCGAGGAAGCCACCTTTTAGCATTGTGTCTCAGTGTCTTCAGTCTGTTTGACTTTCTCGAGAATTAAAGCCTGGTTAAAAAAACCTGTCAGAGTAATTGTTACCATTGAAAGTGACTCTCCTGATCACTGCCCAAATATCTGTGATTTTCATCACAAACATGGCATTGTAGGATGGTTTTATAACGATCCTTATTATGGGATTAAATCCGGTGTTGCAGACCATAAGAGTTGTCATGAGAATTATCATCCTTTGGCTGGGAACCCACTTTTCTTCCCCGCTGAAGTGAACCAGTACGAAGAGGAGGAAAATGGGAAGAAGAGACATGACCTGGGTGATGAAGAGACAGGTGAGTACCACCAGAGTTCTCCTGCTGCCTGTCAATGCTTTTTTTCTTTCCTTTTTATCTTTATGCTGTTTGTTGAGCATCTTTGTCATCCCTGGTCTTTTAGTTGTCACCGGTGGCATAGGCGTCCATCTGAACTGCTGAGATTTGATGAAGACTGGTGAAATCATGTCAGAGAAGATCGTTTCAGCCGAGGAACAATCGAATGCTTTGGGAGACTCCTTTTCTCTGGAACACTCTGTGTGCCATTGCTTTGGTGATACCATGTTTGCCTGCTCGATTTCTTCAAGGATTGTTGAAGTCTGACTCCAAGATTTCATGAAGAATCTGTCTCCCACCCCCTCACCTGGATTAACGGTGTCAGTACAGATCAGTTCATCATCCTCCTCAGTGCTGCTTCTGCTGAAAACTGGAACGGTCCTCTTCGGAGTCAGGTGATCAGTTTCCACTAAGCGGAGCGATCTTGGTGCACCCCTACATTTGTTGGGAAGGGAAGGGACTGGTAACTCATCGCACATTGCCATGGAATGTGATCTTCTTAGCTCTGTCCATGCGTGCAGTTATGCGGAATGTAAGCGAGAAAATGACGGTGATAACAGAAAGAGAGAGAACTATGGTGAGGAGACCCAAAGCGAGGTTGTAGTGAAGGCTACCACTGGAACATGTCAAAGAGTAGGTAGAGAACTTGTAGGGCATTGAGAAGACGAGAGGGAATAGAGCCAGGAGACTTGCGCTGATCCACACACAGAAGATCAGGATCTTTGTTATCTTGAGATGGTTCAGGCTGAGAGGGTTCCGGATGAAGATGTATCTGCAGACACTCCACATGACTATAGACCAAATAGAGGCTGCCAGATAGAGGTTATCAATAAACCCAACAATGTAACACAGCCACCACGGCAGGAAATCCCTCTGAATTATCAGCCCGGAAAAGAATATGGGGATGGTTAGAGTTGCTGCCATCAAGTCGGAAACTCCCAGTGAGATCCCCCAGCACTGCTCCGTTTTAACCATTCCTCGTACTTTGTCTCCCCTCATTACGTTGAAGATGAAGCCGTAACCTAGGTAACATAGAATGGCAGAGACGATAAGCATGGTGGTGTTGAGGATAACCCAGATATCTCCCAACCTTTCTTGCTCGTCATTTCCCGCTGTCATCCTGAACGAAAACTTTAGAAGTGGAAACATTGGTTAATCTCGTGCTTTTTATGCTGATTACTCTTCATTGTCTGGAGAAGTAGAAGGGTGACAAGCCTAATTAATTTGATTTCAACAAAGATGATTAATTTTTATTGAAGTAAAAGTCTCCCTTCCCTCCGGGAAATAGTTATAATTAGAATTAAGCGTGAGTACTCTGTGGAGAAAGTGAACAATGGTCGAGTAGCGCGAATGAAAGCTAAAGCAAAGAGAGGAAAAGCTCTGTGAAGAGGCAATAAAGCTGATTACCCTGCAGCTAACCACAGCGTTTTGGACGGTTTCATTAACTCTACTCTTTGAATATTAAACGAAAAGTTACGGTTGAGTAATGAAAAAATTGTGCCTCAACCAGATGACGCTAGTTATCGCGCACTGCACGTGGTTAAAAATCGTTTCATACTATATGTTATGTGAGCCGATATTAAATGACTGATTTGTTTAAAATATGGTATTAGATAATTGAATTAATAAAATTTAATTTCAGACGTTGTACGATCTGTTGACTGAGTTTACACGATGTTACGAGGATTGTGAGTACGGCATTATAGTACTTTTTTTCTCCAAAATTAATCAAGAATATGGCATTGAATTTGTTGAATTAATCAAGGTGTGGCGTCGTCTAAAACTAACTTACTAAGATTTTTATAAGATTGGTGTAATTCTCCAGTAAATTAATCAACCTGCTAATAAAAAGATGTGGCTTAGTTGGTCAGCTTAAAACCGAGCAGACAGAAAATTAGAAGGAACTACTAACTATATAATAGTATTATAGCAAATCATTTATGATTCTCCTGCTTGTCAGTTACGCAATTAAATCACACATCAACGCTAAACTGTCCAAAGTCCAGCCCCTTGCTTGTCGCACAATCGTCCACTACCCAAAATACACGTCAAGAAGAACCATGGAAGTCGTCACAGGTATCCTGCCACTCAAAAGCGAAATTAGAAAGTCTCCTGCTCGACCCTTTTCCGCCTGCAAGGTCATCATAGGTTCAACCTTGTTCACAACATCAGAACGAAATTTAAACCTCACTCATCTAACTACTCCGATTGTCTCACACCCAGCATTGTACATTGGGACATCACACGTCAGAAAAATTCCAGACTCCAATCACCAATGTTGAAAGCCAATTTGGCCAATGAAGAACTTATGAACGAACTCATCTCCTCTCACAAGACGGTAACAGATCGATACCACTTCTGTTGTTTTACCGACGGCTCAGCCTCAACAACAAAACAGGATCAGCACTTATGGTCTTCTCCAGCTCTCCAGGCATAATGCAGTCCCCTTAGCAACATTCAAATGGAGACACTGGATGACTTCAACACCGTTTTCCAAGCTGAAATGATGGCCATAAGAGAAGCTTGCTCATGTCTGCGCTCCCTGCCCTGTCACAACTCATCGGTAGCCATATCCACAGACTCACTTTCTTCAGTGCATACCTTATCTGCCGATACTTCGTCTAGCCTCCTATGAAACAGAAGAGAACTAGATAATCTTGCCTCAGTCTGCTCTTATGTTTCCCTAACATGGATACGAGGACACACTAAAAAAAGAAAAATCGAATTTTTTCGAAAGTGCAAATACTCAAAAAAAAATTAAAATTGCCAAAACAAATTTTTTAAATCTATATTTTCCAAATATGAAGTGATTTGCCGGGATAATCAACAATTAAAAATATAAGACATTTTATATATAAGCAATTCAATCGGCCTCCAAAAATCAAATTTTCAATTCTCGATTAAGTAGTTACAGTATGCCATCTGCAAAGTGCAAAGTTAAGAGTATCAAATATAAAAATTGCTAAGTTATAAGCCTAAACGGTGCACCTTGACCTATTATTTTCAAATAATACAGATATATAAGGTATAATAATAACAAATAGCGTAAATATAATAAGGTACCAGCACTGTATTACGAAAAATATATATTGTGATACTGCTTAATATTGCGAAATTACTGATCCGTGGACTGGGCCGGGCTTCTTGGATGCTTCTAATGAGATCTGTATCGCAAAATAGTAGTATCACAATATAGAGCGGTTACTAATAGATAAGATATTAGTAAGCATGTTTGTTCCCGGACGGTGCCGGTAGTTCTAATGACCAATTTATAAAAAAGTTATCAGCATAATAATATTATATATCTAAAGAACTGTAGAAAATGTGTAAATGTGTAAATGTCCCATATTCCCTATTGAAATCAAGCTAAGAAAGAGAACAGCCAAACTGCCAAATGTTCGCAATGGCCCATTTATATACGATTAGCGAGACGGTACGTGATGAGGAAATATATGCTCCAAAATTGTGACCAAGGGTCAACCAAGATCACATTTCTTGCCAGGATCGAGAACCAGAAATTTGATTGACTATTGAAGTAGCCGGGACCAGGAATTGGCGGGACCTATCTGAAACAATTTTCCATATTTTATACATTTTTTCATTTCATTATTTTTCTAAAAGGAGCGTCTATTTAAAGGACCAGTTAACTGAAAAAAAAGTTATCCTCATATTTTGACAGATTGTGACAAATAGCAAACTAAGCAACGAGTCGAAATTCCTAAATCTCTAACTGCTCTCTAACGCGTGTAAATAGCGTTTGTATTATTTTGGCGATGACGTCATAAAGTCCCTCCCGCGCGCAGAAGAGCTCGTGAGACTGTATTTTACAGGTAGAAAATGGACATAATACAATCTTTTCCCCCAAATAACTCGAAAAGTAAGTAATTTAGGGTACATGTTGCTTCATAAGTTGTATATAAACATGGCCATTCTGCACAATTTGCACACATTCAAAAACCTTAAGGGCCTTCATAGCCCAAGTTACCAGATACCCATAGTTTTGTATGATTTCTGGAACCGAAAATCAGTTTTTCGCCAATAACTGAAAAAGTAAGCACTTTAAGGCATATGTTTGTTCGTAAGTCATATATTAATATGCTAATTGCGGTTCTTTTGCACCCTGTCTAAAGACTCTATCACGATCCTATCGAAAATGGGCTCAGCACCACGCCCAAAATGGTTTTTGGCGAATTTCTCGAAAAGTAAGGATTTTAGGCCATGTGTTGCTCAATAACTCCTATATAAACATGCATATGCGGCTTCGTTTAAGCCTATTTTGAAGCCTCTACGACCTTCAGAAGCAAGGGGTCGGTTACGTTATTGGGTCAATATGGGCGTGGCCCTCCTGGGTTTTCTCCACGGTCAAAAAAATGTCTCCAAACGAAAATCGTTTATTCATACCTTCAGGAAGGTCTGTGCAAAGTTTCGTGAGTATTTGAACATTTGCAGGTTCATTTCCATAAATGTCCATAAATGACTGGAGTACACAACTTAAGAGTTAACTTTAGAGAAACTCATAAGTCATTTATCTCAAATTAAGCTGTTAGTGTCCATGATCAACCTGTGGCGACAATGTTTTACGTGAAATGTAAAAATCAGGAGTAATATTAAAAGTGTATTTTTAGATTAAAGTGCTAGCTCATAGTTTTAGAATTGTATAGATTATAACGTTGGTCGTTTAGCCATCTAACAATCGATCGTGCCGTAATATATGGCCAGAGAATAATAGGGTCTTGGAAATTCTATAATTGTTCAGTGGGTCGATTGACTGAACACGTTTGCACTTGGTATTTACCAGTAGTTTATTTATGTTATGTACCGATGATAATGCAATTAGGATAACAACTAGGTAAGCCGTAAGTCTAATTCAAAACACACTGCACACCGTACACTCCGAACAGTATTACTGTTTGGTAGACCCGAGACCGGGTATTTTGGCGGGAATTCTGTTCCCACGGCACTGTTCTGATAGAAGCTACTTCTACTAATGGTCCCAGAGGAACGGCCGTAAAGTAGCCAGACTTCTTGTCTCCTGTACTGGCTGACACATGCGGATTAAAGTTATAAATTTCGCTATATGCTATAAATATAATTGCTCTCGGAATTGAACAAACTCCTACTTATCTAGATCCTTTCTAAATTCGTTAGAGTTTCATGGACAAAAATAATCGGTACAGTCTCCCTAGCTGCTTGTGTAATTAAGCAATGAAAGCAATCCAAAATTATCACATATGACATAAGTTGTAATAGCAGAAACTTTCTAACCGTACATTCACCCGCCACTGTTCAAGAACCTATATCACTGTTTAAAATCATGACGTGAGCACTGTACATCCAATCAGCTATTCCTTTAGTTAGAATGATAGCCAAAACTATAAGGATTTTGGAGAACTAGGGTAATAGTCATAATTCTAAAATTTGAGTGAGTTACATGTGTTTTATTGACGATGATAAACATTTGTAATGTAAATTACGCTATGCAAGCGCGCACTGAGGGACTTTATGACGTCACGAGGCCACAGCTTATTATTGCAATAACACGCGTTACACGTACGATAGAGAGTTGGTTCTTTCGGCGATACGATTCTTTACCAGTTTGTCACAGCTGATTTAAATCTTAGCCAAATTGGAGACTACAAATTTTTCAGTTAACTGGTCCTTTAAGGACGGTAGTGTAATTCAGTGGCGAAAGGTTCATATGTACCGCTAACCGCTCCCGCTAACCGCTCCCTCTAAAATCTTTTCTAATGTCCTAGTAAAAAAGATAAAGGCCATGAAACTACTAGGTTCCGTACAGACTCAACTCTGCACCCATGTCAATATGTTCATTATATGCAAGCCTCTTGATTTATAATCACCGGGTCTAGTAATTGTTTAAGAGAGCTCTCTGGCAGTTACGAAACTCGAGAGACTGTGGGATACTGAAGGGAAAGGAAGCAGTTCTAACGAGCGCTTCTCAAACACAAGGATATATCTTGTGAACTTGGCTAGTATATATGAAACATTTGACACGGAGTTGTAGAGTGAGCTATGTGCCTCGCCGGGTTAAAGTGGTGGATGACCTTGCTGTACGGCAAGTTAAACAAGGAACTGAAACTACTAGGTTTCGTACAGACTCAACTCTGCACCCATGTCAATATGTTCATTATATGCAAGCCTCTTGATTTATGACCTCTTTTTTGCCGCCCCCTAACAGATTTTTGCCGGCCCCTGGGGCATTTTGTACCACAAAATATTTATTCGGGGCGAACGTTCAAGTAGCGGGGGCGGTCGTTACGCCTTTCAATTGGTGTACTTTCCACCAAACACTGAACCCATTTTACCAGAAACCTTCATATTTTGCTTTAGACTGCATGCTGAATTTATAATTTTATTTTTGTGTTAGCATCAGGTCATGAGAACCATGTTAAGCTATGAAATAAAGAGTATCTCGCAAGACTCTGTCGCCCATAGCAACATGGTAACATGGGCCACGTTTCTTCATAAGATCAAGATGGCTATTTTAAGCAAATTATAAAACATTGAGATGCCCTTACTAGAGGGCTACTTGAGAGCGTTTTGCCGGATTTTTGCCGGATTTTTGCCGGATTCTTGAATAACGGAAAATTGTATTGATAAATGTTCTTTAAACTCTTCAAATAGTTAGAGCACTATAATACAGTCAATTTCAGGGAGTATAAAAAAATTTCTTCGTCTGTGAGTGGAGATACAAGGTCAAACACAAGAAAATATCTTCATTTGGCCAGAATTTTTGCCGGATTCTTGAATAACGGAAAATTGTATTGATAAATGTTCTTTAAACTCTTCAAATAGTTAGAGCACTATAATACAGTCAATTTCAGGGAGTATAAAAAAATTTCTTCGTCTGTGAGTGGAGATACAAGGTCAAACACAAGAAAATATCTTCATTTGGCCAGAATTTTTGCCGGATTCTTGAATAACGGAAAATTGTATTGATAAATGTTCTTTAAACTCTTCAAATAGTTAGAGCACTATAATACGGTCAATTTCAGGGAGTATAAAAAAATTTCTTCGTCTGTGAGTGGAGATACAAGGTCAAACACAAGAAAATATCTTCATTTGGCCAGAATTTTTGCCGGATTCTTGACTAACGGAAAATTGTATTGATAAATGTTCTTTAAACTCTTCAAATAGTTAGAGCACTATAATACGGTCAATTTCAGGGAGTATAAAAAAATTTCTTCGTCTGTGAGTGGAGATACAAGGTCAAACACAAGAAAATATCTTCATTTGGCCAGAATTTTTGCCGGATTCTTGACTAACGGAAAATTGTATTGATAAATGTTCTTTAAACTCTTCAAATAGTTAGAGCACTATAATACGGTCAATTTCAGGGAGTATAAAAAAATTTCTTCGTCTGTGAGTGGAGATACAAGGTCAAACACAAGAAAATATCTTCATTTGGCCAGAATTTTTGCCGGATTCTTGAATAACGGAAAATTGTATTGATAAATGTTCTTTAAACTCTTCAAATAGTTAGAGCACTATAATACGGTCAATTTCAGGGAGTATAAAAAATTTCTTCGTCTGTGAGTGGAGATACAAGGTCAAACACAAGAAAATATCTTCATTTGGCCAGAATTTTTGCCGGATTCTTGAATAACGGAAAATTGTATTAATAAATATTCTTTAAACTCTTCAAATAGTTAGAGCACTATTCAAGAATCCGGCAAAAATTCTGGCCAAATGAAGATATTTTCTTGTGTTTGACCTTGTATCTCCACTCACCGACGAAGAAATTTTATACTCCCTGAAATTGACCGTATTATAGTGCTCTAACTATTTGAAGAGTTTAAAGAATATTTATTAATACAATTTTCCGTTATTGAAGATATTTTCTTGTGTTTGACCTTGTATCTAACTATTTGAAGAGTTTAAAGAACATTTATCAATACAATTTTCCGTTAGTCAAGAATCCGGCAAAAATTCTGGCCAAATGAAGATATTTTCTTGTGTTTGACCTTGTATCTCCACTCACAGACGAAGAAATTTTTTTATACTCCCTCAAATTGACCGTATTATAGTGCTCTAACTATTTGAAGAGTTTAAAGAACATTTATCGATACAATTTTCCGTTATTCAAGAATCCGGCAAAAATTCTGGCCAAATGAAGATATTTTCTTGTGTTTGACCTTGTATCTCCACTCACAGACGAAGAAATTTTTGTATACTCCCTGAAATTGACTGTATTATAGTGCTCTAACTATTTGAAGAGTTTAAAGAACATTTATCAATACAATTTTCCGTTATTCAAGAATCCGGCAAAAAAATCAGCGCCAAATAACAAAACTTATCCTTGTGTTTCAGGTATTACCTAGTGATCGCTATGTCTATATTACTTCACAGTGGTATATGTGGAAGTTGGTATTGTCCTGTTAATATTTGCCGAGTTTTGCGGACAGTTGGCCATGATTTCAAGTCATATTTTGGAAAAGTTTGGGAAATTTGCAGCGCGATTATCCGGCAAAAATCCGGCAATTCTGGTCTCAAGTACTTCTGCCTTACTAGTTTTACGTTATATCATAAAACAAAAGTATATTTCAGCAGCGTGTGTAACATTTTTCATGCGCGCGCGAGTTGTTCTTAAAATATAATATTGTGACAGCCAATTTTGTGTACTTAGGCGATTTAGAAAGGGCCATCCCTTTCATTACATTGTTCATAATATACAATCAATCTTGGGGCTATAATTTTAGCACCCAATTATCAGGTTAAAGTTTTATCGAGAATATTTTATTATATAAAAAGTATTCAAACAATATATTGTTAATTGTTTGAATACTTTTTATATATAAAAAAATATATAATAAATATATAATAAAATATATAATAAAATATTCTCGATAAAATATACACATAATATCACAATGGCCTATATAAAATGAAACCTTTAAAAATGCAATAAATTCCTCACTAAAATGTTGGCAGAAACATTTCAAATTCACCCTTGGCCTTCTTATTGATCATATTTTCTCATATATATATAAAGAGTACACCGTACTCTGTAATCCAAATTTATAAACCGAAGTACACATCGAGTAATTTAACCGGCCGCCGGCCGGGGTAGCACTAGGATGACAGTCTCTCTCCGCACAATCTTCCATTGAGTTTGAATTCAGATGAGTACCAACAACCAAGTACCAACTTGTAAATTTCTCCAATCAGGTCCCGCTCAGATTACATTGACAGAGTTGTTCAAAAATTAATTGCTATATCTGCATTCACAAATAGTATTGAAAGTGAAGACTAAGTTTATTATTAGGTAAATTTAAAACATAACATATACAATAAATATTTCATCCAAAAAACAGCGTTATAGATGATAGAAGGGCCGGGGACTACTCGATACTGCAACACCTAGTTTCTCCCTTATAATGGGCGATGCAGATTGGTCTTTTCTTGTGGCAACGTAATAGCAATTGGTACAATCCTGGTCATATTTTGTCAGAGTAAGTCTCAAGCCAAAAGTTTCAAGAAAATGAAGAAGTAATTTTCGATACCCTATCGACATTCGACATGCGTATACTTGAAATAAAAATCAACGCTGCGTAAAGTTAAAGGCATGTGCATGGCAATTTATGTCTGGACGAGACCGTTTCGATATGAAATGACTATAAATATGAAAGGCAACTATTACAAAAACTTTCAATCGTCACGGTAAACCAAATCAATCACATGATTGCTTGCTGAAGGCCTACATAAGACAGATAATGGATTAACACCTGAGAGTAGCACGCGGTCTCGCCACCCCAGGCAGGTATACTGGATCCGTTATATTAAGTAATTATGGAATATGGAATAGCACTGCAAAATGTGTTTATGACTGGGTGGCTCAGTTGGTACATGTTCCTGCTTGTTCATCGCGATGTACCAGGTTCGATTCCCAGCTGAGCTACCAGCCATGGGATGAGCATTGAGCGTCGTTAACTCTAAGCTAAGGATTCCGAATGATATATGCAGCCCCCCCCCCCCCCCCCCCCGGTCCACTCAGCCGAATACTCGAGAAACCGGGTGTGAGAGTTAAATGGGGAGCTGCCCATTGCAGTAAAGTCGCGGGTGAAGAAAGTATGGTACACACTACACACTACCTTAACCGTCACTGGCCTAATGCAAATGTATAATTGAATCCTTCGGCGTCCTGTAATTGGCTGTTGGAATGTCCGAAGTAAAATAAGTGTTCGATTTTAAAAGATTGTAGTGATACTTCTCGTGGCACTATAAACAATCACATTGTTTGGACTTGATTCTCCATTTAATTCATGGTTTATGTTCCTAGAGTAGTTACATTAACAGATTAAACACTCTCAAATTTCAGGTTACCACCGGGTTGACAGGATAAAGCTGGGCTTGCCAGTAAGTCACGATAACCAAAGTATGGAAGCTGTGATGTGGAAATACACTTACATACGCCTCTCCAAACTGTCAACCAAGGAGTTCAAGCATACGTGTGATTCTTATTCCAAACAGCTGAGGGGAAAGGTACAGCTGTTAGCACCTTATCAGGTTTCCTGAGCAGCACATTATAAGCGTTCTGGTTCTACTTCTAGTCATGTATATCGTAGCATTAAATTTGTATATCTAAATTGATAAGAAGCCCATTTTAGACTTAACAAATGACTGAATAGTTCGAGATAACACTTTAGTTAATCTAAGGTTACCGAATCATATTCAGTATTCGGTATTCGACTGAATCACAAACTACTTAACTATTCGGTCAAACCGAATATCGAATACCAATCTCTGTATCCGTATAGTTTTCGAACTATTCAGTAACCCCAATCAAAACCCACCAAAAATGCTTTCCATTAGTATGGAATACTTTATTTGGCAGATTAAAACTGTAACTGTATCCAGTACTACTTATCTGAATCAACTTATAAATACGCGTAATTTAGTGAGGCTATCTGAAAATGAAGTGATGTAATAATTCGTTCAGAATTATTGTATGAGTTGTTAAATTAATCAGTGCTTGTCCGTGTATGTATACTACACATCGTAAAGTCGACGTTTATGTCTTTACGAGGTATTTTTATTTGATATCCATACGTCTTGGTATCGGCGGTAAACTAAAAAATATATATCTATTTTAAATGACTATAGAATGTTTAGTGTTTATATAAAATACTTTTCGTGTTACATACAGTAAGAGTTCGATCGCTATAATTTAAGGCCTATTTTAAGTTCTTGAGAATTCACGATAAGAATTAAAATTATTGATCGAATTTTGATCGGTTATTATTGTAAACTAGCAGCTTATCATTTTAGACAGCTCACCAAATGAAGTATGCTAAGCAGAGTATGGATGCTTCTAAAACGATAATTACTGATGTGTCGGACAACTCTTCCAGTGGAAGTGCCAGGTTAGGGAGAACTAATTAGCATTGTGAACCCTTTATGTTTTTAGTTAAAATGGAAACTGAAATCATCTGCCCACCATTATAATCAAGTATTACATCGGGTTTGATCCAGAATTATAACATGGAATATAATTTCAGATCAAAATGTCAGAAGTTGAATAAGGGTAACTCAAGGTGATTTGATTCAACTTTAGCCTCGAAAATCAACATGGAATTGGCACAAAAGATTGTTTAGGGACAGTGTTAATTGTCGACCATCTGCCGGATTTCGAAGTTTTGGTCAGATACAACTTTTATTTGTATGATGCGACATTTTACAGCTAGTCTTGTAGGACATGTAGGTAACAAGCATAAAGCACATCAGCGTGGTTTATTTAATGCTTGTTATTATTCGTGTACATTCTTGTCAATAAAGTCAATTTTTGTATTATGGGATTTCAGAGATTGTCGAAAATCTGCGACACAAACAGAAGCGGTTCTTCTATTTTAACAGAGTAAATAATATGTCCATATCCACGATATCTTTAGATGACTGTGTGACACTCGTGACGGTAATTTTAATTTATGAAGGCCGAAGGGTTAATCTATGTAAAGTTTTATTTGTTTTGGTAAAATGTGTTTTAACAAAGATTCAAATGACTTCTTTATTGAATTGAAAAGTTTCAACATAATATTTCAGACGACTTATAAATAACTGTATTATAACACAGCTCTCATCGGTTTATATAGAAACTCAATCGTAAATTAAAAATTCTGAAAGTTAACCCCATCAATTATGATATAATACAAAATTCGCACTGAAAACTCAAAATCTAGATCAACCACTAAAAAAGGAATAATTATGAACTGAAAGATGGAATTCAATCAAACGGCATGAATGTTATGAATTTTCAATTCAGACTGATCCTATTTAACATTTCTTTCCAAACAGATCACTGAAATATTACACTTTTGTTTAGAAAGCTCAAATTGATATATATATATATATATATATTTTGCATGGTCTTGATATGAATGCGCAAAAATAACTAAAAACCCACAAGCAAGTTTTCGAGATAGACTAGATAAACAGCATGAAACACTGAAGAGATTAACCGATGCGTGTGTTAATTTAATAGTTCAAGCTATCTCTTAAAAATTTAATTCTGCTAGTTTAAACTAAGAGCTAGTGCATCGGCTCACAACGAGAGCTAGAACAGCCAGGACTGAGACTGCAGGAAGGAGGGTGGTAAGAAGAGTAGAAAGTGAGATGCTGGTCAGAGTAAACCAGAGAAGTGGAACTCCGCAACCAACTACAGCTTCTTCTCCACCCTGTAAGATCCGTGTTATTAGTTCTCATATTTCCTTTATCCTTAAATGTTTCCTTATAATAAAAGAGGCCGTGATCCCTAAAGTTCGTATAGTAAGACCGAATTATAGAAAGACCGAAGAGTGTCCTTAAAAATGCAACGTTAAACTATTCCAAGGGCTTTAGATTATCTACATGATATTAAAAACTAACCAGATGAAAGCAGTCGCTCCAAAGTTCTTTGGTCAGTGTGATGTTCTGATCTGGGCCAAAATAAATGGAGGTTTTGTTGACTGTCACTACACCTACGGCTATCCCCTCTTTTGCGAAGTAACCAAGTCCAAATAGACCCTGAAAATGAGTTTAATTTATTTATATGAAAAACATAATATTACAGATTACGCTTAAGCATTTAAACATTAAGAGAGCTAACATGATATAAGGGGATATAACAGATGGTGATGTTCGATAAATTACAATTATTAGATTATTATGAATCCCTATAATCCCAGGCCAGTTTAACAGGGGGAGGGGGGGGGGGGGGGGGTTATAGAAAATTGGAAGGTCAGGTACCAGATAACTGTAGGGATTATAGAACATAATATGCTAACCTCATCAACTTTGTTGTCCGCTGCCTTAGCGTACCAACGCGCTGATTCGTAGTAATCTCCCTTTTTCCAGAGATGGTTTGCGAGAAACGCTTGTGATGGACCGTAGCCATTGCCAGCAGACTTAGAGTAATACTCTCTTGTGCACTCTGGTATTTGGTGAGTAATCTGGAATGAAGCGGGATTTACTTAATACCGTTCGGTGTTTTCGCCGATAAATAAACACGTATGATAAGATATAAACGGGCCAGTCTTGAGTAAACATAATATTGCGCGCGCGCGCGTTAATCGACTTTCTGATAGCTGACAGTATGAACGATATGTAATAAATTATCTCGCGCGTTCCAATCTTAATAGAAAGTAGACCCTTTGGCGCCGATTTCGAAATGGACTTATATTCATATATTGCGATGCTGTAGATAAATCTGGATATTTGGATATATTATATTGAGATTCATTATCAATGAATACCTCGAATGGGAATTGTTGACAGAGCCATCCGAGATTATACTGAGCCATTTCGATGCCTGATTCAGCGAGAATAAGGTACTCTAGAAATGCATCGTCATATTTTCCATCCTGATAAGACTTGACTGCTTCCCGCATCAACCTTGTTACGTAGTTACTCTGATCCGACAGTTTCTTGATATACCTGAAAACAGAAAACTGTTATCTTCAACTAGCTGAGTTATGTTTTACTTGCCAAAATCTGAATTATAACGACAATGAACCGACTACTGATCAGCAACTAACTGTATGAGTTATGCATCCTTCAGTAAAAAGAAGGTTAACTCAGGTTCCCATATAACCGTAAATTCTTACTTGAGAGCGGATGGACAATCTCCTGTCTGGTTATGTATACCGTGTAAACTCTGTTCAGCTGAGATCATAGTAGCGTCTTTGTGTCCTCCGTCAGATGCCAGCTTGAACATCTTGTGTGCGTAATACTGCAGAGAAAATCAGAGTTAATGGGAGATAAATATCGACATCTTCTAGACAGACCAAACATTAGAGTTCAAACTGGCAGATAATCTATTAAAAACTTACAGGATCAGGATCGAACGTTTCGTAGAATGTTTGTATAATGGCGAGATTGTGAGTAGCATCTGTGTCTCCAAGTTGATGTGATTGGTTGAAATAGTGCACTGCTCCTGTCACGTTCCCATTCTCATTTAGTTCCAGATAACCTGATCATTAAATGTTATTTCTAGACGACAGCACGTTTGTTATAAATATGCAGATAACTAGTTGTTATCTATTACAATGTTACCAACTCTAGTGAAAATTCATCAAATAATAGACTAAATTATCTTGTTGATAAATGTCTGAACACACAATAATGATGAAAGTATATTATAATCTATTGAAAAATACCTATAGTTCCAGGTGCTCCTTTGTGACCAGCTTTAGCAGCTTTTTCAAGGTATTGTCTAGCCTTCGTCGTCTAAAATATAAATGAGTGTTGACTTATGGCGGCTGTTTGAGGATTTTAATTTGTCATAAATTCCTAAACGTTTATCTTAAATAAATTATCTATTCCTATAATAATGGATAATCAGGAAAAAAAGTTTTTTAATGTCTCACATTTTTATCCGTTCCGTGTCCTTTAAGCAGCATGATCCCGGCATCAAAAAGGCCGTCAGGATGATTCTGAAGGGCTGCAGCATGTTGCATCTCAAAAGCTTCTTCGATGTTCCTATCTACCCCACCTTGTCCCCAATAAAACATACGTCCTATGTTGGCCTGAGCTTCTGGATTTCCCTGAAAGAAAAATGACTTTGAATAACATGACAGGGTGACCTAAAACGTTTGAGAAAAATTGCAAAAAAAATGCTGAAATCGGTTAAATCATTAAATCTAGATGACTAAAGATGATCATGATTTCAAGGAATCTCCGAACCTGTTGAGCCTGCATCAGCAAGAACTGAAAGACTTGATCATCAGCTCCCTCCTGATGGGACAACTCGCCGTGTTTCAGGCGCGTACGTTCCGCTATCAGGTCCTCTGACTCAGCTCGCTTCCACTCCAACATGAAGCGCTCTGCCACCGCGCCGTGGTATGCTGTAATACCGTAGTGTCACGTAACGGTAGATTGTACCAAGTCACAAATTAGGTGAATTTAAAGAGTAATTATAATAATCTTTTCTGTATGATAATCAACGTGGAACGGTCCTGGCTTTCATTATTAGAAGGACCTAGTTTTAATAATGAACAGATTGGTACCTCTGGTACCTAATTTTATTTTAAATCTCATAATCTACGTGGCAGAATATAATTTTCCGTTCATTATAACGGGAGATAACGCACCGAATTGTAGAGGGCAGGCGGAAGTTTGTGAAGCAAGAGCTTGATTGGCGAGTATTGAACTCTGTGTCGCTGCAACTAGCGTAAACTCTCTGCCCTGAATTAAATGATCCGTTAGCATAAACATAACCAGAACACCTGCCAATCATTTGTTGAGAAATTTAAAATTTTAGCAATCGTAAAAGTGGCAACTATGTATAGTCAGAAAATGAAAGTTAAATATAAGAAGACAGTATAGGGTACTAACTGCATACTATGAAGCACGTTTCTCACCAATAATGAGTTTTGAGGGAGAAGAATACCAGTTTTGAATAAAGCTGCAAGAGTGAACAATGTCTCAGGTGAGCCGTAACAACCACTCAAGACGAGCAGAACCACCCCACTACAATAAGACTCAGACCTCAGCAGCTCTTTTCCAGCTGTATACAGTGTTCCGCTCAGGTTAGAGAGCGACTTATCTGGTAGATTATCTCTTATCCACTGTCTGCAATTGTTTACAGGTCAGTCATTAAATCAGATAATAGTTTAATCAGCTAAGAAATAAAATAGTCATCTCGCAGTAAAAGAAAGGAGGGGCTTGCTACCTTTTACTAAACTAGTTTAAAGACAATCATTTTTAGCTGAAAGTTGAAACCAACGACACATAGAATTTATAAAGCAACATTCAAAAAGAGAACAATTTTTACAAACTTCGCCTCACTGCAAAACTAATTTTGTTCCTTACCCAGCAGCAGGTTTTGAACAGTTTAAAAAAGGAGTAAGCTGACTTTCAATGATACCAGCTTCCAGTGCGACACGTTTTATCGCAGATCTTTTGATTATCTTGTTCAGACGTTTGTAACACTTGGGCTCGCCCGTGTATGCGTCATTTGGACACTCTGTGGATAAAGTGTTATTCGTCTAAACGATTTCTGAAATGTTTGGGTTAATCTAACCTCGAAAACCTAAGAACTAATACAATTCATTAATAATAATAAGTAATAAAGTTTACATTCTGAACATACCGAAGTCAGTATCTGTCAGTGACGTCACTATGGTCACACCACCAACTTCGTGTGCTCGACAAAGGAAGAAGATCTCAGCTATAGGCAATGTTATCTCCGGTACGAAATGAGTCAGGGCCTGCCGGGAAGTAATCTATTAGATTTAAATTAATGATATTAAATTAACACGTTTAAAAAGCTGAAATTAGAGTGGTATAGTTTCATAAATCAGTGAGAATTATGAAGCTGTTTCCGTAGAATAAAATCAAACGAGGTAATTTTTCCTGGAAGAAGATTTAATCGAGGTAACATCAAGGGGATGATATTAATATTGAATATATATATATAATTTGAATATATGGCCTAATAAAATCAACAATTGAAATTAGGTTATAAGAAAACATAAATAATACGTATTATTTTTCACCTCCCGTATTAAAATGTTTACTGGTTAAGATTACACAATACTTAATAGTGTTCAATTCAAATGATTAACGGCGGCCGTAACTCAACTTGATTTATGTAGTATGAGCCGGGTAAGTAAAATTAAAATCAAGTCCCGACCCAAAATAAGTCTTATCCAATCTGTCAATCTGATCGGATCTGTTATGCGTATCAGCGAGAGTTAACTCTCTGTGTTGTTGCCACATTCTGAGCCGTTGTGGGAGATTTTGAAGTGGTCCACAATTCCCCTTGTCATTTCAACTCCGATAAACTGGCCTGATAATGTTCGAGAAATTAAAGAGTGATAGATTCATCGAACAGTGAAGGTTGTTAGAAGACAAAATTCCATATTAAAATTGCCGACGAAACTTAAAAACTAAAGCTGATCGGTAAACGACTTCCGCTTTTTACCAGTCATTTATTGAGAAATGCCAATACAGTTACAAACGTGGACACACTAGTTTAAAAAGGCAGTGGCATGCCAAAATAAAAAAAAAACACATTTTACCCCTCAAGCTCAAGCCTCATCTGAATAAATATGAAAAGATAACTTACTAAGCATCTCCCAAGAAGATGCAAGTTGGTCCAAGACGCCACACATAGATTCCGAGTGATACTGCCGAAAGTGGTTGACTACCCCATCAGTCATATTAGCACCTACCAATTTCCCTGAACAGTCTTAAATTAGTTCAATGCATTGCAGAGAAAAAACATATTTTTGAATAGATCCAAATTCCAATGCCACAGTGAACAATTTTCAAACCTAAAATAGTATGTGCACACGCAGTTGCTATGAAAAATATGCAAAAAATGTCTCAATTAAGCAGTTATTGTAACGAAAGAAGATTACTCACTTAACAAGCCCCAGCTTGTAGTCAGCTGTTCGTACAGGTCATCTGAGAATACCTTGTTGTAATACGGCGATGTATATAACACATCCCACCGAGTGATGTTCTCAAACTTTCTGGCTTTCTCAAGTTTATCCTCAGTCCTGTTCAACTGTCCAGTGACAGTTTGAAACTGCTCCTTTACCATCCGCAGCTCTGTCTCTGTTTCGTTCAGCCGTCCAATAGCGTCAGCCAGACTCGCTTGTGACTCAGTAAATTTCTTTTTCCAAGGACACATCATAACTTCACTCACAGACCCACTCCTAGACTTCTTCAGAATGTCCTCCCATCGTAACACTCTTGTCTCAGCTAGCTCATCAAGGTCAAAACACAACCCACCATCAGCTATCTTCTTTATTGTAGCAGCACTTAACACCTCAGCAAACATATTATACTGGTAAAGGTCCCCACCAAACACATAATTAGCGTGAGTAGTCCAAGAGCTAGAGGTCCTACCTAACCACAACTGCGCACCCGTGGTAAGTGACTTCCCTGATGCTGTCTGGTCTGTTCCTATAAGTTCGCCATTCAGATACAGGTTACTTGTTGTTGAAGACAGAGACCAGGTCAGACAGAGACTAAACCACTGGCCGGCAGGTGTGGTAAACTTACTTTTTGCGCTATCCAGACCACCATCATTTACTACATGAGTCCAATGCCCATTAGCTGTTATCGTAAGATCATTTCCAGCAGAGCTGTAGTAGCTTACTACTGTAGGTTGGGCGGAGGAGTGCAGATGCTTTATCCACATGCACGTAGAGAACGAGTTGCGGAAGGGGGACATATGAAAACTAAATGTCACATAGTCACTGGTGCTAGTACCAAAATGGAGGGCATTATACCCTTTATCATCTTCATTAGACTGGACGGAAGCTACTAAAACCAGGACAACTAAGAGGAGCAACATTTCGGTGGAGTGAATGTCAGAAATAACGCTTGTACTGAATAATAGGCTATAGTACCCTGTTCGAGGTGTAAATACGATTATAGAAGATGGAGACTTACCGGAGATGGAGTAAATACTTTAACCGTCAACCTGTTCTGAACCGGAGAATATTAATGTTATCTACAATCGAACAAAGTAGCACGACAAACCTTACGCAGCTGGCACAATCCTCAAACCGGATAACTAGGCTGCATATTATGATGTTTTTTCCCGTGCCTCTCTGTACCGGGTACCTCGATATACCGGACTTCTGTATTCCCCTTAACTTTTAGTAGATTAGCTATAGCCCGTGTTTGGCCAGTTCGTGCAAAAAATGAGATTGATCAGAGTTCGCATCGCATTTGGTGGTGATGTGGGTACTAATCAGGTTGCATTCCCTCGCAATACGACACAAAACTTGCATATTAAGCGCCTAAAGGGACACAAGGAAAGCAAATAGAGATAACGAAAGCAAATAGCTATAACCAGAGGAGATTAGGTAAACGAACAAATTTGAAATTCACTGCGATGACTGATAGTGGTATTGAAACTCAAAATTGTGCTGCCATTACTCTCCAATGACAAAACAGAGCTGTCACGTGGGGGTCTTTCCGGAAATGTTATTGGTCAACAAACGTATTCAAGCAGTAGCTTATCGCAACTACGGCAACATAGCTTATCGGAACTGCTATACTAATATCAGGTGTGAACTACGATTTCCAGAATACGTGATGACATAGTCGCAACGTTGACACCCTGAGGGGTCCGTTTTGACGGGGCCAGGACGATTCATATTTTAACGTGTAATACATTGAAAACAGCCGCTATCGAGTTAATTCAAAGAATTATTCTGTCTGTATGTATGTACAGGGTGGGCCAAAAGTCAGTGGGCATAGGTTGGCCTTAATAACTCAGTCACTGAGTGCCCAATTGAAATAATTCTTTCTGGTATGACTTACTACCACCACTGGTTCGAGGAATTTGTCAAATCAATAAATATTAGAGTTCATTTTTTTTCAAATGAAAATCGAGTCTAAAAATCTATCTTCTCTTACATTTTTTGAGCAATCAACCTCAAACTTTCTAAATATGTTCTAAGGATCATTTAGAAGAGATTATCCAAGCAAAATTTTGAGATAGGCCTTTAAACATTTTTTATTCAATTTTAAAAATCTTGGACCTCGAAAAATCGTCAAAAAACCAGGTCCAAGATTTTTAAAATCGAATAAAAAATGTTTAAAGGCCTATCTCAAAATTTTGCCTGGACGATCTCTTCTAAATGATCCTTAGAACATATACTGAAAGTTTGAGGGTGATTGCTCAAAAAATGTAGGAGGAATAGATTTTTAGACTCGATTTTCAGGGCACGCGATCAAAAATCGCTCGCGCAATACAATTACACACAAGCGCTGACCTTTTACCGGCAATAATTTCGGCTAGGAACAATATTTTTCTATCGGATTAAAAGCATCTGATAGATATCACTCCCCTCTATCAGAAACAACTAAAAAGTCGATTTTGAGTTGTTTCTGTTATCTCCGGTACGAAATGAGTCAGGGCCTGCCGGGAAGTAATCTATTAGATTTAAATTAATGATATTAAATTGAGACGTTTACAAAGCGGAAATTAGAGTGGTATAGATTCATAAATCAGTGAGAATTATGAAGCTGTACCCGTAGAATAAAATCAAACGATTTCATTTTTCCTGGAAGAAGATTTAATCGAGGTAACATCAAGGGGATGATATTAATATTGAATATATATATAATTTGAATATATGGCCTAATAAAATCAACGATTGAAATTAGGTTATAAGAAAACATAAGTAATACGTATTATTTTCACCTCCCGTATTAAAATTTTTACTGGTTATTAAGTATTGTATTTAATAGTGTTCAATTCAAAATGATTAACGGCGGCCGTAACACAACTTGATTTATGTAGTATGAGCCGGGTAAGTAAAATTAAAATCAAGAAGTCCCGACGCAAAATAAGTCTATTATCCAATCTGTCTATCTGATCGGATCTGTCAAGCGAGAGTTAACTCTCTGTGTTGTTGCCACATTCTGAGCCGTTGTGGGAGGCTATAAAGTGGTCCACAATTCCATCTGTCAATTCTCTTCCAACAAACTGTCCTGATAAGGTTGGAGAAATTAAAGAGTGATAGATTAATCGAACAGTGAAGGTAATCGGTGGTTAAAATACAAAATTCCATATTCAAATTGCCGACAAAACTTGAAAACTAAAGCTGATTGGTAAACGTCTTCCGCTTTTTACCAGTCATTTATTGAGAAATACCAATACAGTTACAAACGTGGACACACTAGTTTAAAAAGGCAGCGGTATGCCAAAATGAAATAGAACACATTATCCCTCAAGCCTCATCTGAATAAAAATGAAAAGATAACTTACTAAGCATCTCCCAAGAAGATGCAAGTTGGTCCAAGACGCCACACGTAGATTCCGAGTGGTACTGCCGAAAGTGGTTGACTACCCCATCAGTTACATTAACACCTACCAATTTCCCTGTACAGTCTTAAATTAGTTCAATGCATTGCAGAGAAAAAACATATTTTTGAATAGTTCCAAATTCCAATGCCACAGTGAACAATTTTCAAACCTACAAAAGTATGTGCACACACAGTTGCTATAAAAAATATGCAGAAAATGTCTCAATTAAGCAGTTATTTTAACGAAAGAAGATTACTCACGTAACAAGCCCCAGCTTGTAGTCAGCTGTTCGTACAGGTCATCTGAGAATATCTTGTTGTAATACGGCGCTGTATATAACACATCCCACCGAGTGATGTTCTCAAACTTTCTGGCTTTCTCAAGTTTATCCTCAGTCCTGTTCAACTGTCCAGTGACAGTTTCAAACTGCTCCTTTACCATCCGCAGCTCTGTTTCTGTTTCATTCAGCCGTCCAATAGCATCAGCCAGACTCGCTTGTGACTCACTAAATTTCGCATTCAAATCACACCCTATAACGTCCGTCACAGACCCACTCCTAGACTTCTTCAGAATGTCCTCCCATCGTAACACTCTTGTCTCAGAAAGTTCATCAAGGTCAAAACACAACCCACCATCAGCTATCTTCTTTATTGTAGCAGCACTCAACACCTCGGCAAACATATTATATTGGTAAAGCTCCCCACCAAACACATAACTAGAACTAGTAGTATAAGAGCTAGAGGCTCTACCAAACCACAACTTCGCACCCGTGGTAAGTGACTTCCCTGATGGTGTCTGGTCTGTTGCGACAAGTTCACCATCCAGATACAGGTTACTTGTTGTTGAAGACATAGACCAGGTCAGACAGAGACTAAACCACTGGCCGGCAGGTGTGACAAACTTACTTAGCGCGCTATCCAGACCACTATCATTTACTACATAAGCGTACACCCCATTAGCTGATATCCAAAGATCTAGTCCACCAGAACTGTAGTACTGTACTACTATAGGGTAGGTGGGGGAGGTGTATAAACACTTTATCCACATGCACGTAGAGAACGAGTTGCGGAAGGGGGACATATCAAAACTAAATGCCACATAGTCACTGGTGGTAGTACCAAAATGTAGGGCATTATACCCTTTATCATCTTCATTAGACTGGACGGAAGCTACTAAAACCAGAACAACTAAGAGGAGCAACATATTGGCGGAGTGAATATCGGAAATAACGCTTGTACTGAATAATAGGCTATAGTACCCTGTTCGAGGTGTAAATACGATTCTAGAAGATGGAGATGGAGTAAATACTTTAACCGTCAACCTGCACTGAACCGGAGAATATTAATGTTATCTACAATCGAACAAAGTAGCACGACAAACCTTACGCAGCTGGCACAATCCTCAAAGCAGATAACTAGGCTGCATATTATGATGTTCATTCTAAATTCATTTGTTGTTCACATGCCGTTTAGCCTTCACAACGCTCGTAAGACGAATGAGTCTAATTATGGCATTATAGATAAGGTTTCTTCATTGTAAAGTACCTACCAATCTGCATTTTTAAAAGTTTTGTATGGTGCTTAGTTTCCAAAAGATGACGTGTGGTAAAATGAATTAATTATTTGTTTATTACAGTCGAACCTCTCAATACCGTGCCTCACTATACCGGGTACCTCGATATACCGGACTTCTTCATCCCCCTTAACCTTTAGTCGATTAGCTATAGCCCGTGTTTGGCCAGTTCGTGCAAAAAATGCGATTGATCAGAGTTCGCATCGCATCGCATTTGGTGGTGATGTGGGTACTAATCAGGTTGCATTCCCTCGCAATACGACACAAAACTTGCATATTAAGCGCCTAAAGGGACACAATGAAAGCAAATAGAGATAACGAAAGCAAATAGAGATAACGTAAGCAACCTATTTTGAATAAGCAGCAGAGGAGATTAGGTAAACGAACAAATTTGAAACTCACTGCGATGACTGATAGTGGTATTGAAACTCAAAATTGTGCTGCCATCACTCTCCAATGATAAAACAAAGCTGTCACGTGGGGGTTTTTCCGGAAATTTTATTGGTCGACAAACGTATTCAAGCAGTAGCTTATCGCAACTACGGCAACAGATAAATAGATGATAATACAAGATAGCGAGCTTATCGGAACTGCTATACTAATATCAGGTGTGTATTTTTGGAACTACAATTTCCAGAATACGTGATGACACAGTCGCAACGTTGACACCCTTGACCCTGAGGGGTCCGTTTTGACGGGCCAGGCCGATTCATATTTTAATGTGTAATATATTGAGAACGGCCGCTATCGAGTATTATTGAGTGTTATCTTGGATTTATCAGAGACTGTAGTACTACGATATAATATAAAGTGATCAAGTCAACTTGGCCATTAGCAAATGCGTTCAGAGTCAAGTGCATGGTGGCCAAAACTCCGCGCTGATTCGGGGTTTTATTGTAGTTCACCAACCAGCTTTAGTTTTTGCAATGTTACTAAGAATATTAACTGTATTATCAGTTATTGAGACTCGGTGACCTTTCATATCTACTGTCTCTCACTATCTTTAAAATTGTACTATGCATTTCAAGTAAAACTCATTTCTGGACCCCGATTCGGCAGATTGACAGCACTAAACCATGTACTTAGTGTTTTTTAGTACAGGAATCTTCAATATTGTGGTTAGTGTCATGCGAGAAAAATAACAGGGAATTTTGATAAACGATGTGTTTGAGGTGTTCTTCCCTTTTTCAATTGTTAATCGTCTCCAATTTAGATTATTGTTAATTTAAAAGTGACATAAAGTAAGTTTGTTCAACTTAATAAAACGCTATTTCTTAGTTTAGGTCCACGAGTTTTAATACATTGACTTTTAATATTAGTACAGTTGTATTACTAAGACACTGTACAGGTTCCATAAACTGACCACTGACTCACTGACCAGGTATCAATCAATCATTTTTTCATGGATCAGGCAATGTTCAGAACATACACGTTAAAAAATTTATAATTTTAGTCTGATTTCTGGAATAATGCAACTTATTTGTAACTTGATATCACAACACGAAGCATTAATAGAGAGACCGCAATAACGTAAGGAAATGAGGCAGTAAAAAAGTACGATTTAGTACAAAAAACACGAGTTTTTCAATTAAATGGTTTTCAATTAAATGGTTTCAGTCACAGGTTTGATGTCATCTTGACAAAAAGGCATAATGAAAATTAATTATATCTTTTCCATTGACGTCGCGTCGTAAAATCACATGATAGTTTATCTGTTTTAAATGTGGCGATGGCGGAAAGTAACCTGAATTTTCTTCTATTTTACAAGAACATATTTTATTAATGGTAATCTTGAAACTTATCTTCATGTCTGCTCTTTGAGTGTGTAAAATGCACCAGATTCATATTCTACATTTAATTATACATACCAGCAAACAAACATCACCTCACCATACAACGCGCAACTCATTCCTCACACTCGACTAGTTACACGATATGATGTCACGTGTCACTTATCATAAGTATCACACATTACATTCTAAGCACAAAGACAGCACACCACATGACATACCACGTGACATACCACGTATCTCTCTTACACATTGGCTCTTCGTTTGTCTACAAAACGCGTACATCACTCGAAGCATAGTACAATTCGAGTAGAAATATGTTCACATACCTCTCTTTCAGCTCTTCTTTGGAATGTGAAGTACATTCTGTTGTTTTGCTCGGTTAAGTTTTTTTGTATTAACTGAACTCGGTTAAATCAGTGTTATTTTGTGAGGTGTACCGTGTGTTAGAATTAAACAGCTTTAGGGGTTGACAGGTTTTTTTAAATCTGTCAAATATTCTTATCAATTAAAGCACATAGAAGTGAAACGCTAACTATTAATTGAGTTGGTGATTATTCAAAAAATATAAAAACACTAAACGGTCAGCTAACATAATATCTACATAATAATTTAATCAATTAACTTCTCATGAAATGTGCCTGATAAGTGATTACTCTAAATTCCTACGAAGTGGGTGTGTGTTAACGAATAACGATGGTGCAATAATGTTAACTGTGTCACTAACCTTGTTGATAAAGTTGGCATCGTTCATCCTCAACGCGAGATGAGAGTCCCCAGGCACAATAGTAATGTCTCTTATCAAGCCCGGCATTCCTTTCCTGTGAGCACTTCCCCCTGAAGTAGGGGTAATCAGGGGTGATACTACTGGTTAGACTAGTGGTCGTATTAAGACTGCCAGGTTAGACTAGTGGTCGTATTAAGACTGCCAGGTTGCACTTGGGACAGCATTGGTATTGTATAATACCTGCATATTTGTTGCACTTAACACAAATTTGCCAAATTAATTGAAAAATTTCTCTTATTTGAAATTTTAATATAATTTAAGTTGCTCCTTCCCAGACTAAATAATCTACCGTGAGTATTCAAATATATATCTGTTGCCATTTTAATGACACCACCATCTCGACTTTATTTTGGCTCTCTCCGCTGATCGGCTGATGTTTCCTTGTAATCCGATATCCTAGACCTCACAAAAATATAACAATTAACATAACTTGTCTCATAATGAGTCAGGCGTTATATTATATATATTTATAATAGCTGTAATTGCAAAATTTGCATTTTATTCTCTATTTGCATCGTTCTGTTCTCAGTTTATTACAGAAATTCTACTAGACAATATTACACTGTTATTATAAGGACAGTTATTCTTTTCATGGGTTCGTTTGCGGTAAAGGTTTCCTAGTACACTTTACAGGGTGGACCAGAATTCACTACCCAGTACCCACACACGTACACAATTATTTACACGTATTATCAATGAATGATGAATAGTAAGGTGAACTTTGATTCATAGGTGAAGGTTAAACTGATGCATAGGTGTCCACTGTCCAGTAATACATTTTAATGATAATAAATAATATTGATTGTAATTGACTAATGACAATTGTGTCCGTGTGTACTGTATACGACTATTTCATGTACAACGTTATCAGTCTCTGTTCCGAATTATTTAACATGATTACTGTTCATTTCATTTGCTGAACACACTTCTGGAAACTTCGTGAATCTTTATTATATCCAACATTCCACACAGGCCTTACACACACTTCCTAGACAATTCCAAATTTATTATAGAAATATACGCATAAAATTTCTTATAATTAGAAGTAGCTGAATTAACCCCTCTTCTGGGACAGGTCGACTGGGAACGCAATATAGCTGGAATTGAGTACAATAGCCGCACAAAATCGCATTGTTTATAATTCTGCATCCTAACACATTGTGGGTACAAGAAAAATTCCTGCACACACTACACATTCCTAGCTATCGCGTCATTTCAACAACATTCAAACATTACCTCATCACTGTTTCGATGAGGCAGATAGCGACACAACTCAATTATTCGCGTTTTGTTATACAGCAGAGGCTGGAGATTGTAAATACTGATGAGTTTGTTTTCATAGACACATTTTTTACTTTTCTATTTGCAGATCTCTATAGCAATGAACTTAACTCCCAGCATGATTCTTGCAACCTTTTTTTCCCCAGTTAACGTTGCCCGACCCATAATTTTTAACGGATGGGTCACATGTGAACCCTTTCAGGATAGCTTACATTTACATGCCACATTCAGAAAAATAGAACAATCTGTTTAGTATTTTAGAGTTTTAGGACTTTAGGAGATATCCATAATATTAGATTCAGGAACATGATTACCGACGAGTTTCATTTGTCGAACACCGTGAATCCTGGTACCCACCTCAACTCCCTACATTTACCACTGGCTTACTTGTTATTAACAAGTGAAAGGCTTAACTGAGGTCCACAAACTTTAGATTAGATAGCGGCAGCTCTATCTGGCATGCACACGAGGTCTAATTTCAAACCTAATTATAATTCGATCACTTTGCTCCTAAGTTCAAGAGAAATTATGAAGCGGATTGTGCGACTGGCAGGCTTATTTACGTTCGTTCTATTATTTGCATGTTTCATCGATCGTTTATTCTGCTTGAAAATTTGTGGAGTCATCTTTCATCATTTACTGATCCTCAGAAACAGTAGCCCGCTACATGTTTAACATTGGTTGGTATAAAGGTCATGATTTCTAGTTTATACATTTTTATTAGAGCGCTGTTTTATACTTCCTCCCACATTATTTATTATTTAATATTTTGACTTGCTCACTTCAGGTCCGGGAATATTGATGCGCTGTCTCCTTGGTACCTCCATATCCGCCATAATTCCAACGATTTCTCCAGTATTATTCAGTCCTGTATCAGCTTGAATACTGGTTTTGCGGACAATTTTTGCAGACAGAAGTTTCATCGCAGTATTGTACATTCATGTAGTGTAATGTGGTAAGCCAGTTACAGCAGGGGCTTAAGCTTAGTTAAAATTCTTAAGCATATTGTAATTTAGATAATATAGTGAAAATACCGTTGGATTTAAGTGTAAGATAGAGATTAGATTAGCGTAGTAGATAAGTAGATTATCGATGGTTTTGCGGAGTAAGACACGTGTTAGTCGGGTGTATTAGTTTAAGGATATTTATTGGCGAGATTGCGCCGCGCGATACTACGTGGCTTGCCATGTGGTATCACGTGACGCAATGCAGTCGCTGGATGCTGGCCCTGTTAGTGGGAGTTCTTGGAGTAGCAAATTTAGGTGACGTTTTAAAAATTAACCGCTGCTCGAGAATGATTTAACGTTGCTTCGAGTTTATAGTTATTCGTCGAAGTATTTATAGCCTTTCACTTTCGAGATTTATTCTTCGATTCACCTGTTTCCTTTGTTCAACACAAACTTAGGAATCGAATTCTAGCCATTGGATCTTATAAATCGTATTACAGCTCACTTAATTGCGTGTAAGATTCGAATTGAAGTAGTAGCGATACTCGATTTATCGTATAGTTAATCCCGTTACAGCACTGACTTCTTGTGAAGGTTTGTGGTTCCATTATTGTACGATACTAATTTACCGTACCTTCGTAATTGACACAGTATACGATACTAACTTATCGTATCTTCCTCTTTAACTTATTATACGATACTACATATCGTATCTACCGTGTTGAGCTTGTGTACGATACTGTTTACGTGGTTATTGGTCGCTGTACGGCTGAGTGAGTGCAGTGTGTATTGTGAGAGTACTTGTGAGCAGGCAGAGTATATCATAGAGTCATAGGTACGCCCTTGGAGGACTAGTCTGGTTGGCCGCCCCTATTTTACATGGCCTCTTGTATATCGTAATTAAGCCATCTTATTAGTTTATCGAACTTTTAATTGGCCTCCTTGAAAGTATACCATTTGTTACTTTTATCGCTAAAATTAGAACAGGGGAAAAAGTTTACTAATCGACCAAGCAAACACAAGTAAAACAGCACTATAACACACTATAGTAGTTATAGTGTACACACACACACACTACAGTAGTTACCTATTATCCAGGCACCGTTAAGTGAGAACTGGTAGAGACTATCCAGAAGCTTGTGACAGTGAGAGTCAAACAAGGAGCTGACACACACTCTGATACCATCCTCCTCCATTGTCAATGTCACCTGGAATATAATGTCACTTGTTACGTTTTGTCACCTGGAATATAATGTAACTTGTTACGTTTTGTCACCTGGAGTAGTTTGTGAGATTGAGTTAACCTCAAAAAAATGACAACTGTTTCGTGTTCACGAAAGCAAGAATATCAAGAACACCTTTAAATATATTTTATTTTGCAGGGCTGAAAGCGTGTCCTATCAGTTATTCTAGATTTTACTCCAATATAAAATCTCCGGTTGCGCTTGCCAGCACTCAGATTGTTATTACCATGGTTACATTAAAGATCGCCACAAATCGATCCTTTCTACCAATTTGCTTCATCTCTGCCAGTGTTAGCCGGTGAATCATAAATTTACTCTTTTGATTTTGCATAGTTAACGAACGTGAACTTAATTTTTGGAATGCATAATAAATGTTCCCAATTTTATCTCATTCACATCGATCCACTTTAAATATTCTAAATTTATACGGAATACCTTCTGCCAAGTATATAGCTTTATCTTCCTATCGTAATTAAAGACTTTGCCAGTTCCAAATCCGTACAGTAGGACCAGGAGTTTGTATGAGTTTGTCACGTATATTTGTGGGGTCATTAGACGCCCGGAGTTGTCTATACGCTGCAGTATGGCGCACTCTTTTTGGCATTTCTCTGAAAAGGTGGTAAATTAGTACACAAGGCACTTTTTAATTGTCGGCCAAAGATTGAGCGCATGACCATTGACCGGCAAGTGGTCACCAAGCGTTTAAACAAATCCACATGATTACTGAACATGAATACATTCTATGGTATCTTCTTACAGTAGCAACGACGGATAGAAAATTTATGAAAGCTTATAGTCAAGATTTTGAAAGATTGAACGATTGGGTTATAAAATTCATTTCATGTAAAATATCATGAAATAATGTTATAATGGCACGATGTAGAACCTAAACATTAAATAAGCCTGTTAAAACTTTGTTAAAATAAAGAATGTAAAATATTACCGTACCTAAATCAGTAGGATAGAATAAAACTGACACATGACCAGTTGTAACAGACTGGTATTTTGTTTCGTCGATCACATGATACGCTCCTTTATTGGAGTGAGAGCTGGCAAACACCTGGGATATATTCAGTTTTTTGCAAGTTTCCAGCAGTTTTTCTACAAAATTAGACCAGGAAAACGGCAAATATATATCAAACTTTCTGTCTTTTGAGTTTGCATACGTTCTTGCTCCTGTACTACATTACCTCAGAGAGAAGAAATATTTCCTCAGGCCGGGACCAAGGTTTTACTGGAAAGGGGGGGTCTTGGGGTGGACATTGAAACTCTTCGTCAGGATCAATGTGAAAGCAAAGTGAAGATGGGAGTATGAGGAGGAGTATCCATATCCGCATTCTGCATCATATAGCTCTCATACATCATGCATCTCCTTCAAATATTGGGAGTCAAGTTAACACTGGTCATTACTCATTATTTTTAACTGTTCATTTGAATTTTAATGATAATCGGCATATTTTCAAAGGTTAGATTCAACTTTTTTGCAGCCATAAAAAGCTGTTCATTATTATACAGTTTTAATCGACAATTTCTTGATTGTTACAGATAAAACAGCTGGTGAACCACAATTATTAGCAGAAATATGTATGCAATATATCAGCCAACTAAGTGTTTTAAAAAGTAGATGTCACGAAAGAGACTTTTTCTTATTGGCTGCAATATTTTGTTCAAAGATCGGCTTTCTCAGATTATATGCTTTTTTACGTCTGTGTCTGCGAGATTTCATGTGCACAGAAAATGAATCGTCTCCAATGCAGGTAACATCGCAAATCTGACAACGGTTAGCAGTCTTGTGGGCTCGGACTGTAAAACAAATGGTCTTTTGTAAAGCCCCAGAGAGGAAATTATCCACAATACTATGAACTGGTTTTGAAATGACATCTTCCCATTGCTCGGGATAAGTCGAGTCGAGCCTGTTGAAAAAATAGTTTGAACACATGTTGTCGTCTTCCAATCTGTTTTTAATCCACCGCACTTGTTTGCGAGAGTATCTTCTGGTTACATTTTTCATCTTTACAATACCCTCTTTCAAGGCATCCTGAAGAGATGCTGGATTTACATTTTTTGATCGTTTCAAAAGAATGTATGATTCAAACTCTTTGAAACCAATAACTTGTCTTAACAGACCACTGTCAAGGCTCTCAATTTTATCTGAGAACATGTCTAACTCTGAACAAAGTCCCAGCTCAAGCATCTTTTCAACTCGGAGGTCAAGTCGTTTATCCAAAACTTGTTGGTCACTTTCAATAGAAAACAGAAGAACCCCATCCCAGCGTAAATTGCCCCTTATATCAGCAGACTCTGAATGCTGTTTTTCCAATAAAGTGCTATGGCAAGTTCCATATTCTCTGAATATTTCGAGACTCCTACTGATTTTTCTTGAGTCTTTTGGATGCAAAGTCTGGGCATGGACAGAATCTAACTGCTGAAGTTTTTCATAGTCGTTTAAAATGTCTGATTGGAGTATTTGGAGACTATCATAATTAAGTTCGCTTCTATCACAACTGGATTTTGATTGGTCATACAAAGTAAACTGCCATAAAAGGGCTTCTACGTAGTAAGCAGTTCCCCCCACAATAATAGGTATTTTACCTTGTTCAAATATTTGTTCAATGATGGGGAGTGTGTGTTCAAGATACTTGACAACAGTGTATTGCTCCTCTGGGGAAATGTAACTAATACAGTGGTGCTTTACCCCATCTGTTTCCTCTTCAGTCACAGTGTTAGTGATGATGTCCAAACCATTGTAAATCTGCATAGAATCCGCACTTATAACCTCGCCATTGTACTTCTTTGCTAGCTCAATACCAAGCTTAGTTTTGCCAGTTCCAGTGCATCCTGATACAGCTATGACCAGTCTTGGCTTTTCCATAATTTTACTTTGCTGTAATGTTGATGATGGTTTTAGATGATACCCAATGTTTATGTAAAATCCGGATTGGATGTTTATGTTACCAACTTGCACAGCACACGCATTAAGCTAAAAACACAGTACAGTAAGGATAAATAATAATAGTTCTTACTGCAGTAGTTCATTAGATAAACAAATGAAATGCAACCGGAAGTGGTCACTCTCACAAAGATGATGTTCAATATAGAATTGTACACGTCTCAATCCGTTCAATTTGTTAGAGTATCATTATTGAATGCGACTTCTTTAATTTGATGTTACTCGATATAAAATCAGATAAATTTGGCTTCGATCGAATAAAAATTAGTCTTACATTTGAGCAGACTAAAGTTCGAATAAATGTTTTATGTGACATTTTTTATCTAAAACTTTTCAAACAATACATAATTATACAGAATTGAATGCTTCTAAATAAACCCAGTTATAAAAGGAAAAAACCGATATAGCCCTAATTTTCACTATCCCAGAATATCGAAACCCAAATTATGTATTGAAAGAGGGGTAACCAAAACACGGTAGTGTGCAGTAAATACCACACCCGCAATAACATTGGGCCCTAGCAACTATTAATTAATCAATGAATCAAAACATATAATATTGTACTTATAGAAAATATAAAACTTTCAAGGCTCCTTCTCCGAGCTAATGACTCTAAAGTTCCTGATTACGTGAACTTTGTCAGGCTCTGCTGTCCTTTTATTGAGTAGCTGGACGACAACTTTCTTGTAGGCTATTCTGTCTGCAGCTGATCTATCAGGAGTTATGTAAACAGAAGTAAACCCGTCTACATGTCTTAATAACTTAGTCTTGCTCAAGATGGTACGAGCTTGATCTGAGCTTGACAAAGTGAATTTAACTGGTCTGACTCGTTCACTTGTGTCCTTTCCAACTCTATTACATCTCAAAATTTTTGGTTTTTCGTTGAGATGGTCCAACAAAATACCAGATACCTTAGCATCCAGGTTCTCCTCAGTCTCTGGAATCCCAAAGATAATCAGACTTTTACTTCGATCTTCTTCTAGGGCAACCCTTTTCACTGCAGCTTGGATTTTCTTCGGTGCAAAGGCGTTTTTGCACGTGATTTTCAACAGAGACGAAAAGGTCTTAATCTCTTTCTGAGCTGCACTTTTCACAGTTCCAATCTCGTCATCCTTCTTCAAAGCTAACTTCTCCTGCAGATCACTGATTTTTGTCATATCTTCTTCTTGTTTAGAGAGTAACTTCTCTTGCAGTTCTATGATCTTATTAGCATCTTCTATTTTTTCTTTCCTGAACACCCTGTTGTCGGTAGCTGTTTCTGTGGCAGATTGTAACAATGGACCACAATAATCGTTCAGCAAACAGCACACTGTCTCTAGCCATTCTGATAACCTCTCTCTAGGCACACTTCTCTGGTTCAGTTTGTCAAATTGCACATCATCGTTGTGTTCGGCACCGATTTTACTTCTAATCTCCTTGAAAATACTGTTAGTTGCCATGTGTATCTGATTCACATACTCCGTAAGGAACTGGCCATTCATAACCATAGCATCATCTATCATATCCAAGTGTTCATTCTGTAGCGGCAAAGGCATCGTACACGTTGTACAGAAAATGTACAAACAATGTATACAAATCTACAAAGCCAGAGAGATAATTCAACGCGCACACAAAATTGCTGATAAGAGAGCTACAATTTAGCAACGAATGTAAAAGTGTAAGTCCTCAAAAAATTAGAACTGTAGCTTCTCAGATGACCGAGATATGAAGCATAACGAGTTTATTCATTACGTGTGATCAGGTGATTGGTTTACCAAATCACGTGATTAGGTGACCCCGTTAACCACTCCGTTAAACATTATGGGAATTGTTAAGGGTGCAGGTGCCCAATTAAGGAGTCGTGTCACGGTGTCACATAATCACCCAGTCAATGTTGTTAACGAGATACAGAAAATGCTTGATAACTTCGTCATTTCTAATCCGTTTTGCCTCATGTTTTCAGATCATATGCAACATTTAATAATCTATCGTCTCTAAAAAAATAGGCGTTCAGCATGTTCAGAGAAAACAATATAGATGTTTTAATATCGAATGGGCGTGGTCTAAAATATTCAAATTTTCAAATTCTGACGACGGAATCCTCGAACCAGTAAGTACAGTATGCCATCTGCAAAGCAACAGCTCTCAAATGTAAAACACAGCGGAGCTATTAAGGCCAACGTATGCCCACTGACTCTTGGCCCACCCTGTAAGAGTATAGAGAAACTGACCCTGGCCTGTCTTACTAAAATCAGCCACTTACTGATATTACTAAATTTTACAATACAATATAATCAACATAGAAAATTATTTTCCTGAAGTCTTATTTCTGAAGAGCTTAAATTGTGGTTTAAGCTCTTACTAAAGTTATGATGTAAAACAAAATTTGATTTTTCGTTGAAAATTATTGTTTTATTGACTACCAGAAACAGTTCACTGACCATTATTATTTAGGCACAAGAAATGGCTGAAGATTTGGTACAACTTCTTGGCCCGACCCTCCTTAAAAAAGTGGGTGAGGTGATCCAAGAGGTGCCTACAGCAGAAGAACTGGGAGGCAAAGTTGTTGGTATCTACTTCAGTGCTCATTGGTGTCCTCCATGCAGAGGTTTTACTCCAATTTTGTCAGACATATATAACGACCTTGGAACTGGGGACGACAAATTTCAAATCGTGTTTGTTTCCAGTGATCGAATCAACAAGCATTTAATGTAAGCACCATCATCTTTCTACAACCTTTCACTAGTTTCTGATATCTAATAAGTTCTGTTCACCCTTTTGATAAATGTGATGATGCATTGATCTCACTTTTGTAATAATGAAAATTCTCGAACCAACAGGACTACTATAAAGAAATGCCCTGGTTGGCAGTGCCATTCAGCGACAGGAAAAGAAAGGCAGATCTGGGAACTAAATTTGGAGTCAGTGGTATCCCCAAGCTAATACTGTTTGATGAAGATTGCAAAGTGAGTAATATAATAAATAGGGTTTGGATATCCTAGCTGAGCGAGAAGTGACTTGAGCTTTATCATGAGGTATCTTTTCTGCTTAAAAATAATAGTCTAATATACATATTATTGGCAACCTTCAACTACATTAATAATGATAATAATTCTATACAGTTACATAATTGAAACTACATACATTAAACTAACAAAATTTAATTTCCAGGTAATAACAATGGATGGTAGAGCACTTGTAAGTACCAATGGAGCAACCGGGTTTCCGTGGAAATAAGAAAGAGCTGGAAATATAAAATACTCATATTATAACCAGAACTATTGTATCATATTTTAATGTTGGATTTTTGTGTCAATTACGAGTTATCTGAAATGAACTTAGCTTTAGTCTTGTTTTCATTAAAATATACAAAGAACTTGGATATATATATAAACTTGGCTATGTATCATACAAGTAATTAGTGATGACAGTTTTCCTTTTTGAGAACAAAAATAAGTACTATTATAACTGGGGCTTGTTATGTCTAAACTGCAGCTAATATAAGTTTTCTTACTAATCCCATGCTCTATAACAGTCTACATGTAAAACTTTGTTAAAGTACTTCTTTTGACGACTTGTTGTTTCTATTTTCATAATCCATAGAGAAAAGACAATTTTATTATTTATCACCAATTCATTACACAATCAATTAATAAATATGTAACCGAAAAGATAATACCAAACTAAATTTTAGTGCTGTTAACATCAAACATACAATTATAAATATACTTGATCTGAGTAAAAAATGAGTATGCTAGCAGCTAGCATGCTTTACTGGTATATAATCAATAATACCAAAATACATGCTGTTTAAGTCAGCCTGACCACACCGCCACTTTCATTACCACAGTTGGTGAAAGGACCCAGGCGCCGTTAAGTTCGTATGAGCCCTGGTAAATCCAGTAAAATTGTCGTGCAATATTTAAGTTACAGCTGCTTGCAATACACTATATAATTATTAAATATGCTTGCTATACACTTTTAGATACCACATGTACATATTACCTCATAATACCAAATACTAATAACAAATAAAAATGATAGGCAAGAGGTCCAGAACCGTTGCAAGCATGCTACCTTTGCCAGACCGAGACCAACATTTAGCAAATTTTCATCGAAAGCTGCAAGCTTATTATCGTGTGATTCCACCCGTTACTATGCAGGCACCTTCAGGCCGTGTCGATGGGTCACGTGAAAAGCGTTGTTGAAAGGCTGTGCCCTTACTACTACTATACCATAAGTAAACCAAACCATTGCCTATAAAAATTAAAAGAAGTTAACTGAAAACTTCTTGGCCAGTGGCGCAACGTTGCCTGTTGGCGCCCCCTGCCGAAAAAAGCGCCCCCCTGTTGGCGCCCCCTCCCCTTTTGGTGCCCCTCCCTAAAATTGAACAAATTAGGTAATTTTAAAAAATACGCCGGTAAAATCTCTAAAAAAGTGTGTATCTAGAGCAAAACGCGCAGTTTTGCTAGTACTTTAGTTAAGTTTTCGAAATTGTCCCACATTCAAACGACGATTTGGCGCCCCCCTAAGACGGCGCCCCCCTGCACAGCGGGGTCAGCAGGGCCTTTCGTTACGCCACTGTTCTTGGCTGATAAGTGCCTAAGTAAGGCCTTTTAAATTGACCTTCTTCCTCTTAGCTATTATTGGATTATCTTTCATATAATTTACATAATTACTCCTATGAGCTACAGTAACATCAATTCTATCAAATATATCATATGAAAGTCCCCAGTGATGACCAAGCTCGATATACACTAAGCCAAAAGGAATCTAATCTACTTTTAAAGCTTGTGACTGATTCACTAGCTTAGCTTTAACGGGCACAAAGAAGCACTACTAGCAATTGTGTCCTTTACCCTCCTACATAATTTGAACATTTTTGTGGCTAACTCATAGAACAACATCTGAATTAATATGTGTCTAGTATTAAAGGATTCAGT